TGTGCAAACAGGATTGCTTCCAATAGAGCAGTGGCCTCTCCTGTGAACACTGAAGATTCGGGAGGACATTTAAATTTCAGGATAATTCTATACCGAGGAACCCAACAGGCAGCACCAACACAGCCCTCTGGAGACAGCTTTGATGCGTCAGTGTAAATAAGAAGATGATTTGGCCAATTTTGATTAATATAGCTTTGTAATTTGATGTTGGTATCTGGGGCTCCTTTGATCAGACCAAGGTCTGTGATGATGGGAGGTTTGTATACCAGGGCTTTATAAGAAGTAGAATACAGGGGATTTATTGGAAAAGATATCAGGGGGTTAGGGAGGCTGGTGAACTTTAGATAACTATCTAGCAGATAGGAAGAGGAGTTGCGGGTACAAGGAGAATGTGATAGTTGGGATAATCGATGCCAAAGAGGGTGGGATGATAGCTGTAACATCTTGCTAACAAAGCGGTCACATAAATACTGCCGGCGGATGTGAAGAGGAGGATCAACACACTCAACCTGCAAAGCATTAGTGGGGGAGGATTTCATTGCACCTAGAATGATTCTAAGGCACCTATATTGAATTTTGTTTAGTTTATCAGCAGCTGATTTGTTAAAGGGATCCAGAACAAACATACAGTAATCCATATGACTACGTACTAAGGCATTATACAATAACTTTAAAGAATAGGGGTGAGCGCCCCACCAAACTCCCGCTACTGCTCTTAGTACGTTAATACCTTTTTCGCATTTTTTGATAATGTGTTCAGAATGGGCAATTCCGTTCAGCCGGTTGACTAAATAAATACCTAAAAATTTTGCTTTATCTGTCAGATTGATTGCTTGATTTTCAAATGAAATGAGTAGAGTGGGAATGTATCTCTTCCTTGTAAACACCACTGCCTGAGATTTGCCCACTGACAGGGACAAGCCGTGGTCAGACAACCACTGGCCTAGATAATAAAAAGCAGAATTGATACGACAGGATACTTCCCCTATACTGCCTGAGCTGTGATAGAGGACAATATCATCAGCATATTGTAAAATATTGCAAAAACTGGTAACAGACAGTTCGAGGTCATGGGTATAAATGCTATAGAGCAGAGGGCTGAGAACTGAGCCTTGGGGGAGACCTTTCCAGACTAGTCTGGGGGGAAGAGAGGTATTCTGATGCTTTATCAAAATAGATCTGTTAAATAGCAGATTACATATGAGATGTACCATCCTCGAAGAAACACTCAGCTTAAGCAGTTTCTGCCTGAGCGCTGGAAGTAGGACACTGTCATATGCAGAAGCAATATCAAGAAACACACACACAAGGTACTCTCCTTTTGTAAAGGCTAGGCGAATGTCTGTTGTCAGTATACTGAGGCTGTCTGTGGTACTCATACCCTTCCGGAACCCAAATTGGGATGAGGGGAGAATATTTCTACTTTCCATTAACCATTCCAGTCGGTTTTTAAGAAGGTGTTCCGTTACTTTAGCTAAAGTAGATGACAAAGCTATGGGACGATAAGAATTTGAATCTGAAGGGTTTTTTCCAGGTTTGAGAATGGGAATGACTATTTGAGATGTCCAAGATGTCGGTATAGTACCAGTTTCAAAACTTTTGTTGATTATTTTTAGATAGTAAAGTTTAGCTTTGTCATTTAGTCTAGTCAGGAAGGAATATGGAACGCCATCTTCCCCTGGAGTTGAATCTTTGAGACCATTAAGAGCGATTTGAAGCTCAGAGAAAGAAAAGGGAGCATCCATTTCATTGTTAGCCGAAGCTGGCGTAGAACTTAGAAATGAGTCCACATAGGGAACGAAAGGTGGAGCCAGTTTATCCGCAAAGTTGTTAAGCCAGTCAGAAGGGTTATTTGAAGAAGGATTAACATGGTTCAGGGAACGACGGAACCTCCTCACATTAGACCACACAATAGAGGATGGAGAACGAGGGCTAAGGGATTCACAAAATTGTATCCAACTACATCTTTTCTTCCTGGATACTAACCTTTTAATTTTAGCATCAAGCTTCTGGTAATTAATAAAGTTCTCCTGAGACATACTGGCTGAGTAGGATTTCTCTGCAGCCATTCTCTTACCAAACAAATCGCTGCATTCATCATCCCACCAGGAAGAGGAAAGCAGCTGATTTTTAGGAGAGTGCTTTTTGGGGATCTGGGAATCGGCCGAAGATATGAGAGAATTAAAAAAAAGATCATAGCAAGACAAGACATTTTCTTCGCATTCCAAATCAGGCTGAGTGTCTACCATGCAATCAACGGATTGGGCATAATCTTTCCAATTTGCTTTTTTGAGTTTATATTTAAAAGGGGGTTGTGGTAAGAGGGGGATAAGGATTTGTTATTTAATGAAATAATTACAGGAAAATGATCACTGCCATAGGTGAACTCAAGGGCGTTCCAAGTTAGTTGCGAGGCTAGGTTAGGGGAACAGAGGGTGAGATCCACTGCAGATTTGGGATTCTGATTAGGGTATACCCTGCGAGTTGGAGAGCCATCATTGAGGATGCAGAGATTGACATCGTCGAGTAAGTCAATCAGCAGTGGAGCAAACCTATCACTAGCATGGCACCCCCACATAGTGTGATGGGTGTTAAAGTCACCCATGGCTATGATAGGGCTGGGAAGGGATGATAAAATTGATTGTATCTCAGGAAGAAGAGAAGGAGAAGGGTGAGGAATATACAAAGATACAAAAGAAATGTCTAAGGTACGAACAGCAACAGCATTAATCTGATCGCTGTGGGTAGGAAGAGGAATTTGGGAGAATGGGAGGGAATGCCGTACAAAGACAGCACTGCCCGCATACCCATCATTCCTGTCATCCCGCAGACAGGAGAAGCCAGGCACCCGAAATCGGAAACCAGGTCTCAGCCATGTCTCCGAGATGGCAACAATCGTGGGTTTATGGAAGTTTATGAGGGAAATTAATTCATGTTTTTTTGAACGTAAGCTTTTACTATTCCATTTAATTAGGGTTATTGGGTCCGTTATGTAATAATTTAAAAAGTTGGGATAGGTTTTTGGCAACGTTGGGCGGTAGGGGGATTTCGCTACGTGGAGCGACAATACTAAGAAGAAATTCAGAAATAAATTCTAACATTTTGCCCTGAGAGGGAAGGGTGTCAACATTATTGTTGAGAGCACAACCATTTGGGAGGGATGAGGAGCATTCACCAACAATAGTCTGGTGAGCTTTTCTATCGTACCCCTTTGCTAGAGGAGCTTGGGGACGAGGGGAGCGATAAATTGTTTGGCGATAGGAAGCATTGGTAGGAGTTTGGGCTTTTTGAGGAGATTTTAGAGAATAGGCAGGAGGGGTAAACATTTCTTTTGTTATCTCAGCATATGAACGTCGGACAGGAGGAAACTTAATTGCTGCTTCAATGTATGAGATGTTGTCCTGGGACATCACCATTTTTATGGATTGCTGTCGAGTAAATTCTGGACAGCCCTTGTCAGAAGCAAAATGTTTGCCTGAGCAATGTAAACATGTGGATGTTTCTAAGGTGACTTCACACGTATCACCTGTATGGGGCTGAGCACACCTGTAACATCTGGGCTTAGATCGGCAGATCGATTTGATATGTCCAAAACGGCAGCAGTTCAGGCATTGTATGGTTGGAAGTTTGTAGGTTTCGACAGGGAGGGAAGTGTGGTAGGAGTAAACCTTGGCAGGGAGCATTTGCCCCCTGAAGGTAAGGACGACAGATTGGGTAGGCACCCAGGTGGTGACACCCTCAGTAACTGTTTTTCGGTTCAGTCGCCTTGACTTTAATACCTCACCACATCCAGGAGGAAGCTCTAATGAATTTACGAGTTCGTCCATTGACCAGTCCACCGGTACACCTCTGACCAACCCCATTCTGGTTATGTTATAAGTGGGGATAATAGCTTTAAACTTGCACATACTAAGAACCGGGTTGACCAGAAAGTTGTTGGCAGCTTCAGCAGAAGAGAACTCAACGGTGATTTTATTACGGCCTACATTTTTTACACCATCGTGTATTATAGAACTAATTTTGTGCTTATGCATAAACTGGCCGAATGTAATAGCACGTAAAGAGGCTCCGGAAGATGGGTCTTCTACTTCACGGGAGACTTGGACAATGAACGGACCTTTATCTTCATTAGAGTAAGACCGAGGGCCATCGCAGAAGGAGGGGTGGACATAAAGGTGTTGTATAGACGGGTTCGCCTGAGCGGGATCCGTAATAGTTTTTTTAGAGGAAGGTACATTTCTCTCCTCTCCTTGTCGTTTGCGAGACATAGAAAAAGTTCCCGGGTCAGGAGGCTCGGGGTCAGGATCTAGATCCATTTTAGTAGAACTGCAGCAACTATATTAATTTAAATTTTATACTTTACCAGCACCAATAGGGTTAGTTTTATCTAATTAGCACAATAACAACTATTTCAGCTTAGGAAAATCACAGAAACACCTAGAAAAAGACGAAAATCTCACTAACACGTGCGTCAACCAAAACTAACGCGAGCGAAAAAAAAAACTTAAGAATGGTTATAAACACTTAAAAAATTTGACGTCTGTTACGATGCCATCTTGGTATAAGGAAATTTGTTTATGGTAGATACGTACTGATAGATGGTACGTGTGGAACTAACTAACGTGTCTAAAATTAATTCGATAAACTATTAAATTTTATTTTTTATGATTTGGCATAAAAAATACATATTATGTAACCCTAATGTTTACCTTTATATTACTAACCTCCATATTTTAATAGCGATATTAGTTCTTGTATAACTTATAAAATCGTATTGCTTCAAGGTTTTCTTAAACATCATGAGAAACCGGCACCGTCGGTTGTTATGTGCGTCCAAAACCCACAAAGGGTTGTAGCGCCATTTTATATATAGATATTGAAATCCCATTATTATTCGACTTACTAGAATACAATACACACATTTGAATATGAAAGAAGCGTTAAGAAACTATTTAAGTTAATCCGGACACCAGTAAGTCTCCTGTAATCCTATAGCTAAGATGTGGGTGTTAATAATTTTCATTTTAATCATGTTCATATTAAAGGAAGCCGTCCAAAAACCAGCATATTTTCCACCAGGTTGACTGATTATTTAAAATTCGAAATTGCCGTATGGCATCTAAAAAAAAGAATAAGTAAGACTTTTTTACTGGCATTTTTTGTTATAAATTTAAATACTTCCAGGACCACCAGTATTACCGGTCATAGGCAATCTATTAAGCGTGTGGATGAATTTAAAAAGGTACAAATATCATCATTGCGTTTGGAAAAATTGGTCCAAGAAATATGGAAAAATACTTGGCTTACGATTAGGCGTAGTTAATGTTGTTGTGGTGTTTGGGAAGAAATATATTAAGGAAGTGTTGTCTAGAGATGTGTTTGATGGAAGACCGGATGGATTTTTTTACACCATAAGATCGTTTGGAAAGAAACTGGGTTAGTATTTTATTTTTGAGAATTTGATTCAGTGTATCGGTCATAAAGTTAGTCTATGTCAGTCTCGATTACGTAAAGAATTTTATATATAAAAATTTAAATAACTTGACCATCTATCAATCTTATTATTTGATTTAATAATTACTATATATTTTATATTAAAATGTTTCTTACACAGTAATATCGATTAAACTATTTCAAATAATTACGTTTAAATAACGGTGCAAATACAAAATTTAAAATAGTCACGATTGTTTGATTGAAAACAAAAAATAAAATTCATCGTGTAAGCGTAAATATAAATTTTAGTTTCATTTTGTTTGGGTTATTAAAATATCCATAGTAAAAGAAAACGTTCACTACAATTTTTTTTTACATGTGTCAGATGTTTTATATTGCCGTTACTGTCAGCTGCATTTCGTTTTAAACGGTCACAGCTTATAAATTAACAACGTAAAAGTCAACAATAACAGCAATTTGCTCATTTTAAAAGGTCATTTATACAACTATGCATGTATCAACGCGTATTATTTTTCTTTTGTTTTATTTACTGTACTCAACCAAACAAACGTAGGTATTGTTTTTTCCGACGGTGCTACGTGGGCAAAAACAAGGCGTGCTGTGCTGAAGCATCTAAAGAATTTCGGCTACAGCTCACGAGCTATGGAAGCCAATATAAGCGAAGAAGCTAAAGCAATCGTGGAGCTTCGAAAAATAGATGCCGGAATACCGATTGTCGTAAATCATATACTTGATGTGGCCATCGTCAATATTTTGTGGAAATTAGTCGCTGGGAAAAGGTGAGTGGGGCACACGCTTCCATATGTCTCTCACTTTTAAGTCATAAGTTAAGCACTATGTTATAGAAACTTGAAGGACAACAAAGAGAAAAATAATTAGGAGAGAAAATCATCAATAACATTGCCCGCCTTAAAAATACGTTATGAATTCGAAGTGAAATTTATTTTTAACTAAACGCATTTTATAACAAGAAATTGTATTTAATTCAAAAACACATTAACAAAATCATATTGTTTGATAAACTATTAAAATTTAAATTTTCTAGATACGATTTGAACGATGGCCGATTGACACTATTGTGTGATTTAATAACGAAATCATTCCAAGTTGTGGACATGAGTGGTGGAATATTAACCTTTATGCCATATCTGAGACATTTATTTCCAAAAATAATTGGATATACAGACTTAAAAGCCGTAAATGATGATGTATATAAGTTTATAAAGGTAATTAATTTATTAATAAAATATTTTCCCCTAAAACTTAAGATATGCCTTCTATTTATTTCATAATTAATAAGTATTTTCGTTGCTACGCTTTTGAATTTGTAGTCGTTACTTCAATCGTTTAAACAAGATTCATTTGCCATTTAGCAGACAGGACATTAAATAAATTGGTATGAAGTAATAGTAAAGTGTTATATATGTACTTATCTTAATATATAAAACAATGTCGCGTTTGTACGAACACTTATAACTCGAGAACGGCTGGACTGATTCTCGTAGTTTTTGGTTTGTTGTCTCCGTCCGTCAGAATAAGTATTAATAACATTGGAAAATTGACGGAAAAATTCAATACAAAACCTTCATGGGTTTCTTAGCTGTACTGTTAGTAGTTAGTAGTAGTGAATCACGCAGTACGTTAACGGTTAACCTTATTTGATAGCCCATTACTTTAAATATCTTTGACAGCACATTTAACACTTAATGACGAGAAACTTACTACAGAACTATCGAGGTCATTTATTTAGCAATTGATGAACGATCACTACAATATTTGCACCAAAATGTACACATCACTTTGTAGAAGTGCGTAATTTATGGTTTTGAAGAATACATTTAAAGATATAGATCAAAAAAGATGGCGTTCCATTTGTAGTATCATATAAGTTCTCTTTTCGTAGTTTATACTTCTAGGTTATTTAGATGACTTTATGGAACGCTATATAGTCTGTAAATTAGAGGTTAGTGACGTTTTCCATCTGATATTACATTTAGTTTCTGTTTCGAGATCATATGTTTTGTATAGGCATGTAGGTGATCAGCTTTCTGCGTACGAGTCAGGCGTCAGGCCGTACGTATGTTAAATCCACACATAGGCCGAAAGTATATTGGTGTTTGTTGTCGGTTTGGTGGCAGCACAGTTGACCTTAATAATGAGTCGATGAGAGTCGTACGCTGACGTAGTTCAGTACTGCTAATAAGAACTGCCAATAAGAAAAAGGAGTCAGGGGGCAGCCTAAATAATTTTTCCTTTTTGGGGCAGAAATAATATGTAAATATATAAAGGCTTAAAACTTAGTGTACAATACTGTCGGTCATCTTTATTTTCCTTTACTTTCTACATCTTGGTATTAAGAATAACCCTACACAATAACGTAGTTCATATGATTTTTCCTTAAGTACAAGTTTCGGCAGTTATTTCATGTTTTAATATACATTTAGATTGTTATCACCTAATATGTTTATTTTAGGAAACCATACACGAGCATCGTACATCGCTTGACGTCAACAAACCAAGAGATCTAATCGACTCTTTTCTCATTGATATTATGGAACAAAAGGACGAATGTTGTATGTATTCTATTGTATACATTATCAGTTATCTATATATAGACTAATACCTATATCCTCAAATAGGGTAGAGCGCCTGGAGCTGCTTTGTAAATTCCAAAAGCGTATGCGATCTTAATATTAACTTTCGTACCCTAATTTCGAGTGCCATGTGCTATAAATTAAGAGAACTGCATGAATCGGTTTTGTCAATAGGTGACGAGAAGTTACATCACATCAATAAAAACGTGTAATGCGTTATTTGTTAATGAAATTTATTTTTCTAAATTACATAATTTGTTTATGTTTTTTCTACTATTCTAGGTTTGATCAGAATAACCTAAAACACTTTTTTTAACAAAACAGGGCTGCGATAGCTTTTTATATATATACGTAGTTGGTCCCAAAGTTCTGTCCTGGCACATTATTTCTATATTTCGAGCAGGATTTTATAAAAAAGTTATTGCATTCTATTTTGGAATGTTTGACTATTGTTTTAAAATAAAAAACAATAACTTTCAGTAAGTTTTCACGACGGAGTGGACATTGAAAGAAGACCGAATAGTTGTTATTGTGTTGCACCGCTGTGGGCACTCGCCGAGTACCATTTTCAAGTTGCTCAAAAATTTTAATATAACGCTTAGGTTTGTGTACGGTACTATTGATAGGTACCTTGAAGTCTCCAGTGTTGAGGACAAGAAAATAACTGGCCGGCCACGCTCCGCAAGAACACCAGCAGTAATCAAAGCTATCAAAGCGCGGATAGTAAGAAATTCTGTCCGAAAACAGAAGTCGATGGCTTTGCAGATGGTTGTCAGTAGGAAAACAATAAAAAAGGTTTTAAATGAAGATCTTGGTCTACGAGCATACAAAAAAAAAGTGGGAACTTACTTAATGCTCGTCTAAAAGCAATAAGGCTTAAGAGATCGCGGGTGTTGTTTAAGCGGTACGCGAAAAACCGACACCGTGATATCCTCTTTACGGACGAAAAAAATTTCGATAATGAAGAGAAGTACAATAAACAGATTGATACAGTGTACGCTAGGAGTTCTGAAGAAGCTAAAAATAAAGTTCCAAGGGTACAACATGGACATCATCCATCATCAGTAATGGTCTGGTTGGGAGTGTCCTATTACGGGCTAACTGAGGTTCATTTTTGCAAAAGGGGGTCAAAACCAGAGCTAAAGTGTACCGAGAGACGGTTTTGGATCGCCTTGTCAAAGACCTGTCCAGCACCCTATTTGCGGGACATCACTTCGTGTTCCAGCAGTACTCTGAGCTTGCATACAAAGCCAAGACCACTAAAGCCTGGTTTGAGCGTCAAAACATCGATTTAATTAGACATGAGGATTGGCCTTCCTCCAGTCCGGACCTTAATCCTTTGGACTATAAATTTTAGCAGGTCTTAGAGAGGAAGGTCTGTGATACACCCCATAAAAATTTGGAGAGTCTGCAGTCGTCTTTAAAAAACTCAGTCACTGAAATCGACATGAATATGGTGCGTGCTACGATAGACGACTGGCCGCGGCGCTTAAGGGCCTGTATTAAAAATAAGGGAGGTCATTTCGAATAAGTTTATGCTATTTCTATTCCTTAATTAATGTACTATGAATTGATATATCACTCATTAAAAACTGATCAGTACTTTTGTTTTTATGATTATTTCCATTTTTGACAGAACTTTGGGACCGACTACGTATATATATTGTCTCTGCACAAAGACATCAACATTAACAATTAACATTACGATGTAGCCTAACTTAAGACCAATAAGAAAAAACGTAACCTAATTTACTAAAATGATATTGAACATAAGAAAGTGTCTAATAACACTACTTACAGTGTCTATTAAGGGGAAGACACTCTGATCTTGTGTTCAATTTTTTACTTACCACTGATTAGCACTTAAGACTAACGTGCACTCACACTAATTCACTACTTCGAATGTATTTCTCATTTTTAATCTTATCACCATGCCCATGGTGTCAAGAGGTTGAATAGATTCTACAATCACGTGTTGGCGGAGCCTTTGTTCGTTGGCTCCAGCAATCTTTTTGATTATTGTGGTAACGTCCTCTACATTAAGGTCCCAATGGAGGTCGTCATTGCGAATGTATCAGGAAGCATTGACTATTCCCCTGAGCACTTTGTACAAAACAGTGCTGCAGTATTAATAATATAATTTGTTTATCTCATATTACACATATACTGTTAGATGGCCTGCATATGATAGCAAATAATAATTATATAGGTGTTGTGCACGAACATGATACTTATAAGAAAATTACATATTAAATAGAATGTAACACATGATTATAGACGCCGCGACCAGGTAATACAGTACCTACAGTTGTAATTCAATCAAGGTAAACGGAAGTTAACTGTTGTACCTCATATGTTCATATAAAAATATATAATAAAACTAAATTTTGTATTAAGAAGCATATTTAAACTATGAGGAAATAATTTTAATATTTTTTTAAAAAGGAAAAGATTTATAAATCTTATGTATATATTAAAGGGTCCAAAATGTAAGCGGGCAAATGTGATTGAGATTTACAAGAAAGCAATTTATAAATCAAGAACGTCACCGGCAATACTGTCCGTATACCGTACACCGTACCTATATTTTCCCCTACCCTTAACCTCGTATAACTTCTTTTATATTTTATTTATTTCTAGTCACAGATGAAGAGCTGCAAGTTATCTGTCGCGATTTGTTGGAGGCTGGAGTAGAAACAGTTAATAACACGGCAGTGTTTATGCTACTTCATATAGTTTTAAATAAAGATATACAGACACAGTTGCAGGCAGAGATCGATTCGGAAATCGAGAATCGACCTCCAACACTTAAGGATAGGTCCAGGTTAGTCAAAATAAAAGCCAGAGAGCCGGAGTAAAGTACGTAGCCGATCTTTGTTCCTTCAGTTATTAACTAGTCAATATTGTTTAATGTTATTGTTCAAATCGGACACCTGTATTGACAGGCTATGAATCAATTTAATATTTCTTAAATATGCGAACAAGAAAATGCGATTAATATTTCCAGTTTACTGAGAACCTCAAACGTGCTATTGTTTTGGGAGGTTCAGACAATCTATCTTAGGATAAAGTCAAAAATGTATTGGACATTTTTGGCATACGGAAGTCATACTTAGCGCTATGTTTCTGATCGTACCCTAACAGCCTAATTTACAAAGAAAAGTTCATGCAAGATTAAATTTATTATTTTTAAAATAAACTTCGCTTTCTGTCCAGTCCTGCTTAATCTGATATTTACGTAACCTGAGACAGTGTTTTATTTTTCTTGTCAAATAGCTTCATCAAGATAGATTCATTTTTAAGATCTCCAGCTTTCTGGCCGATCGGAGCATCAAGGTCGTCATGGACGGAGCATGTTCCGACCTTAAACCTGTGAACGCTGGGGTCCCACAAGGCTGTGTTCTATCCCCGACCCTATTTCTTTTGCATATCAATGATATGTTGCAACTTAGCAACATTCATTGCTATGCGGATGACAGCACTGGGGATACTTTTTACACTGGCCGGGCAGGTATTTCTCGGGCAGTTGTTCATGAGTACCGGAACAAACTTGTGTCTGAAGTCGAAACTCTACTACGTGGAGTTTCAGATTGGGGCAGACAAAACCTAGTCCAATTTAACCCCAAGAAGACACAAGTTTGCGCGTTTTCCGCTAAAAAAACACCCTTTGTCGCTACTTCTCTTTTCGAAAACACTCTTCTTAAAGCCACAGCTAGCATTGGAATACTTGGCGTTGACATATCGAACGACGTTCAGTTTCGCGGTCACTTGGAGGGAAAGGCTAAATTAGCCTCCAAAAAGCTTGGTGTGCTCAGCAAGGCGAGGCGGTACTTCACTCCGGGCCACCGCATGCAACTATATAAAGCGCAAATTCGGCCCCACATGGAGTACTTCTCTCACCTCTGGGCGGGGGCTCCCCAGTACCAGCTCCTTCCACTTGACCGTATACAACGCAGAGCGGTTCGAATCGTCGACGACCAATATCCCTCTCCGAGCGGCTTGATCCTTTGGCGTTGCGTAGAGATGTGGGGTCACTCTGCATCTTCTACCGCATTTACCATGGAGAGTGTTCAGAGGAGTTGTTCGGATTAATACCTGCAGCTGAGTTTCATCATCGGACGTCGAGACAGAATACGAAATTCCACCCGTATCACCTCGACGTCCGCCGTTCCACAACTGAGCGTTTTTGCCGCGCACCACCACTATGTGGAATCAGCTGCCCACTGAAGTATTTCCGAACCAATTCGACTTAGGGTCCTTCAAGAAAAGAGCGTACCAATTCTTAAAAGGCCGGCAACGCACTCGCGAGCCCTCTGGCATTGAGAGTGTCCATGGGCGGCGGTATCACTTAACATCAGGTGAGTCTCCTGCCCGTTTGCCCCCCGTTCTATATAAAAAAAAAAGTTAAGGTAATCTAAAAAAATACTATCCTTATAGGATGATATACACGGAAGCAGTAATACTGGAAACCTTGAGAATATCGAGTGTAGCAGCGGTTGGTATACCTCATATGGCAAGAGAGGATGCGCGACTTGGTGATTATATTATACGAAAGGTAATTTCTGCATTAAAGTGAGTATTTTAACTATATGTATTGGATTTATTTAATTATTATAAAAAGGCTACTATGTACAATGTACACAATTAATTAATTATTATACATAGTAGCCTTTATGGACCCTGGCCAGTTCATTCTACTATTGTTGATTCTACTTACATTACCACTCTCCACCAGTCTGACTGTTTCGGTCCTTTACCATTAATTCTTTTATCTGTTTTTTCTTTATAAATATATTATTTCTGTTTGGTATACAATTATTACTTCTCTCGTTACCGTTACTCTTTGAATTTCCGAAATCTGTTTACTAATGTATGCACGATTATAATTTACTTGATAAACTAATTTTGATACAATGACTTTAATTTATTGTTTCAACAGAAAACTGTGTTTAGAATATTCAAGTCAAGGTACAGAACATTTTAAATGTTATCTTTGTCTTCCGTTATATCTTATTGGGTTTTTGATAATCTTTACCAACATAAAATGCTACGATTTCGTGCGAAAAACAATGTGAATAAATTAATGTGTTTTAAAGTTTATATAGCAATATATTTAAATGTGACCTTTAGCATTATTTTTTTTAATATGATAATTAAGCGTTATTAAAAAACTAGAATTTTGATATTCTAAATGTGTGGTATTTTTATTGTCTCCATATAAATAGTGATTCATGAATTTTAAAATCAAATCCGATAAGTATTTTTATTTATCATAGGCTTAAACTTATTATAATATATAACGCTCAATTACAACATTCATTCATTCATTATGGAACAGGAAATATCTGGCAAGTCCAAGGTCTGAATATTCGAAATAAAATTCAGTCGGCCTAAATGGCAACACCGGGATCCAATTTGCGGAAGTTTTAATCCAAAAATCACAAAACTGCCGTACTTGCCTAAAAGCGTTACGGAAGTTGATCTCGCGGTCTCCGGCTCCAAGTCGTTGTAGTCAAATTGTAGTACACCTTGAGTAATTAATAGGGGGAGTGTATTAAATTCAAAATGGCCGTAAAAAACGATGGCCGCCCTAAAAATGCAAATTTGGTGTTTCTCGCATGTATGCATAAATTGACCCATGCATAACTTGACCCATGCCTTAAATCTGTATACTTGAAAATTGTCCTCTAGTTTCGTAATTCATAATGTGGACTCTATCCCATCACCACCATCTCGCGGGCCGCGCAAAAAATAATCTATTTATATGTTATCACTTATCATTGATTATAATGTCTTTTATTTATACAACTGCATAAGAAAAGTTCTGAATAGATTCTCAATAGAACGCACATCACCATGGCGGCAAATTAAAACAATATTTTGCAAGTAAAGACAAACCTTACAACATCAATATCTTATAAAATAATAATAGGAACTCGTTAAAAATATTTTGAAGTGACAGTGACGTAAAGTAAAATAATAACAATTGTTAAAATGACCTGTTATCAGTGATACTCGTTGAACTTGTTTTGCTCGTGTTATCATTTTATTCATTATGTAATTATTCCTCTTAGGGTACATTTTTGCTACTGGCTATCCATGATCTTCACAACGGGGATCAATGGAAGAACCCTGATGTATTCAAACCGGAACGATTCATAACAGCAGAAGGAAATTTGATTCAAAGTGACTTATTAATGCCGTTTGGTGCCGGTAAATATAAATCTGATAATTTTGCTACGTATCGACCTCCGTGGCTAAGGTGGCGCTTTAATGAAAGGCATCATCTTTATTACACTTGCAACCAGAAAGTATTATACCACTGACAATCTGGCTTTTTATTCTAGGTCCGGTTTTTCAGTGTTCACGAATGACAGGGATGGGCTAATGTAGGTACGCGTGATTGCATTTGTTTATTATATGAAGTTTTGCTATTTATTTAATTTTTGGATATTGTTGTACATATCTTATTGTTAGTCTAGTTTCGGCCTTTTAAGATAACCAGGTTTTTGACCATTCTCATGAAACATGCCCTGAAATTAACCAATGACTCCTCATCCTTGAATTATTAAACCAGGTAGAAATTGTTTTTCATCATCGGGCGTCAAGGCAGAATACCACCCGTATCACCTAAGTCTCGACGTTTTTCATTCCAGAATTGAGCGTTTTAAGGCAGTTTTTGCTGCGCACCACCATTATCTGGAACCAGCTGCCCACTGAAGTAATTCAGAACCAATTCCACTTAGGGTCCTTCAAGAATAGAGCTTACCAGTTCTTAAAAGGCCTGCAATGAAGTTGCCTTGCCTTCTGGCAATGTGTCTATGGTTGGCGGTATCACTTAACATCAGATGAGCCTCCTGCCCGTTGCTAAAAAATATATAGATTTTTGTAAGCTCGAAAATTTTTCGCTAAAGTGCAGGGATCGGCAACTTTTTTCAATTGGACCGTTAAATTGAATGTCATACATACTTTGTATTTCTAGTATCTCAAGGAGGATCTTTCATAGTGTATCGCGATTATTGCTTAAGCTGAAGAACTTAATTGGTGGGACAAATATTTCGTATTTAGAGTAGATTTACTGGCTTAGTATATACGTAGTAAGTAATTAAAATCCTCTTCTTTGAGACTAAAAAAGGGGTTATATTCAAATTATCAGTGATTACTACGAGTCATAATATCTATAGTCATAGTTATCTATAACTAATAGCGACTTTTGACTGAAACCTAAGTAGACTCAGCCAGTAATATTACCGGTATTCATTTTGGTATGAAAGTTCATTTATATTGAATTGTATTGCATATAACTTAAGTGAATTTAAGAGATTATATTATTCGAATGAGAAATTAAGAATTACCTTTTTACAGGTAAAAGGCGCTGTATTGGCGAGGGACTGGCTCGTGCTGAACTATTTTTGTTCCTTACTCATATTTTGCAAAGGTTCAACCTTAAAATACCTAATGGAGATCCCATACCATCCACTGAACCGATAGATGGCGTTACACTGTCGGCAAAAGAATTCAGAGTCATTTTTGAATTAAGGCGAAATAAATAATGAAGAGTACAACTACAGTAGAACCTCTATGAAACGAACACCAAGAGGTGCCAAACAATTCGAGTTGTAACATTCAGATGATTTTGACTTAAGCGAATTTTGTTTCAACTTGTGGAGTCAGAATCCATGAACAATAGTGGGTTTCACTGTCGGCAAACAGTAAGATTAAAGCAGATAACTTATTTTGTTTTGAATTATAGACGAAAAAGCTTCAAATTATTGCGTCATAAAGTTTGTAAGGTAAATCACTGCTATGTGAAGATAGTGTTCCAATTAAATTTTTCGAGTCATAGAGGGAAAATATGTACTAAACTGTGTGATTGAGTTTTCGAGTAATGGTATTTTTGGAGCTTGAAGGAAAGGGAACAAACTTTTTTTTGAGTTTTGGAGGTTTTTCTCTTATTGAGGTTTCTACTGTATAAATATATGATGCGTGGAATAAATCATAAATTTAATGTTTTATTTATTTACTTTATCCCTACAAAAACTTCTCTAGACTACAATTATTATAAGATACAAATAAACGTTGTGTTGTTATTTATTATTATTATTATTTATTATTTGCACGCAGAAGCTATGAATACAGAGAAAGATAGGATATCATTACAATATAATATGTTACATATGCATAGTATTTTACCCATAATATTTTTAATTATCTGTTCTAGACGAAAGCATAAATAATATAATTTCACTTCAAGTTGCAAAAGTCAGATTATGGTAGTAATAATTATTGTGGTTCCAATTATAAAGCAAAAAGATTTCTAACAAAAAAAAATGTATTGTCTATTAGCAACAATGTTAACAAGAAACGGCCCAATCAAAAGTATGATGCAAGCATTATAAAACTGTATGGGATTAACCTTACAGATAGTCACGTGACCATTTCCGTAAAATTTCGCTGGGAGTGGGAGAGAAGCGGATAACGCCTGTCACCAAGTATTTTTGTCTATGGCCTCAAAGCAGTGTTGAAAAAAATCTTCAACATTAAGATAGATTCAAATTATTAGGAATATGTCACAGCGCATTACAATTTCATGTGAGAAATAGCTCTCCAAAGTTTTATAAAATATATTACGAATTTGCATGAAGAATCCCGCCCACTTCCTACAACATCATCGCATACAATTTCTAAACTTGGAACTGGTTTCGTTTTTTAACATTAGACATCGATTTTGTCTCACGCATGCGCCCCTAATTGCATATCCCAGCTGTCAAATTGAGCCGGTGCACCGCGACATAAATAACGTAAAACACAAAATATAAACGAATCATTATCATATAATTTAAACTAAATATCAATAAATAAAGCGTGAGAAAAACCACTACTGACTTTGAAACAAAAAGTCAGATAAATGTAAATAAGTGAAAAGACAAAGGTCGTCGTAATTTGTAATCTGTGAATTATGGTATGTGACGAAAAATATTCGAATTTGGAATACGCCGAAATGGGTTGCGAATTTGCGTAAAATGAATGAGTTAGGTCGCGGGTACGCCCGCATTGAAGCAATGCGTGGTGCTCGAGGGGAGCCCATGGGCAGTGTCCCGGAGCCCAGCCCACCACCTCCAGATAAATATAACTCCGTTTATTTTACCCTGTTTGTTTCCGGTGCTGCTTTCTTACTACCATTTAACAGGTGAGTGCTTACTTTATACTATATAAACAAATTTTGTTTGATAATAAAATTAATAACAGTCCGGTTCATGTTTTCTATTTATTACAACATTCATGAATTTTTATACAGGTAATTTTCGTACCGCATACGTTCAGCCAGGACGACATATTTGACCACGAGAAACAATAGTAATTTCGGCAAAATAATGTTTTTCTATGAAAATGACATCAGTTAGTCCAATAAGATATTGCGGATTGACATATATCATGTTTACAAATATATAATCGCGAAACGCATTATTTTGTAATGATAATAATTATTCGTATTTTTCTATACAGACAATATTCTTATAATTTTTTTTAAATCGAGGTACTTATTCCGTAATGCCAGTAAATATAACTTCGCGTGTTAAACAGGCTTAAAGTATGTAATTACCACCATTCTGTTTCTAATGAAAACAATAGCAACAGAAATTAGGTTAATAATATCTAGTTTTTTATGTAATTGAATATTATTTTGTCGTTAATTATATAAGAACCAGCTTCATTCATAAACAACAATTACCTATAGATTTTCATAATTTTCTTTAGGATGGTAATGGCATGGCAAGTATTTTGGTCGCATGAAGGAAGAAAATCTATTGATGCACAGGATGCGATACGGCTAACCCTTAGATAATTAAGAAATTTGGATTTCATGTAATGATAAACGTTCATATTCAGCAATGCCTCAAGTGATAATTTTGCCCCAAAAAATTAACTTTTTTTGCTTAAACTTTTTAAGTGCGAATAAATTCAACACCAGTACAAAACGATTTCGCTGACTTCATCGCCTACCGTCCGGTAGACAGTACGGGGATAAACAAACTACCATCAAAATGGCAATAGTAATACTACTAGATTTATAATATATTATAATTTGGGCCAGAACTTTGATTAGCTGAAATGCCAAACTTGTAAGTTTTCATACCAATCTCCACATTTCACAGGTAAAGACCTAATACTAGGTTTGTATTTTCACGTTTACAATACTCAACTAAATCTAACGCGCTTCGAAATTTTATATACAAAATATAGCGTCCTCTAGTCGTAATAAAATACAAGAACAGGTATCCAATATAATAAAAATATTTCAGTTTCATAATGGCAGTAGATTACTTCCAACATCACTATCCAAATTCGACGATAATGTTTGATATGTCGACTGTTTACATCGCGTCTGCTTGTGTCGCTGTCGTCATTAACAATCTGCTGGTAGATCTGTTCACTTACAACACTAGGATAACATTTGGTACGTATATAACTTAAAATACTGACACTTAATAGTAAAAACTATTGATGCACCATTTATTATGCAAACATTGTATTTTATATGCAACAATTTGTTAATTTAATCTTTAATTTCTTGATTGTCGACCTAATTTATGAGATAAAATTCTGCTAACCGGGTCCTATACTGTTACGATTCAAATATTTGACGTAGATTGATTTCATTTCAGGTATACTATTGTCCCTAGCAACGATGATATTTGTCGCGGTGTGCAACATAGGATGGGATGGATTTCCCAATAATGTGTCCTATACTATCAACTTAGTTGCAATAGGAGTTGTCGCTTTCGGTTGCACAGTACAGCAAGCCTCCTATTATGGCTTCACAGGATGTCTTCCTCCAAGATATACCCAGGCTGTTATGGCAGGCGAAAGTAAGTATATATGGTTGAATAGCGATAGCCCTACAACCCTTTATAGATTGCCTCGAATCTGTAGCTGTGGATCATTTTCTTATAGGTTAAGTGCCTGACACGCGTCATTGATTTTTGGTTATAAGACACAGTTTCCTCACGATTTTTCTGCAACGTACAAATAATTGTTTATTGCAAATGAATAAAATCATGGACGTTTAGTTAATGCATGAGTTTAGATTCGCACGCAATTAGTAGGGTAAAAATCACTTTGTCAGTATAATAGGTAAATTTAATAAAATAAATAAATAATTTATCTAAAATCAATTTAGATAGTTTTTTTACACTTGGTCTAAAAATTATCAACAGACATCATGCTAACTGTTCTGTATATTTTATGCTCAAAAGTAGATAATTATTTTAAAGCACCATGAATTAAAAGTATTAAAAGTGCACCTAAACTGAATTGCAATAAATTTTTACCAGGCGCTGCCGGTTTCTGGGTGTCTTTGGACAGAATTATGACGAAGTTCGAATTCAGTGAACCTCAAAGAAGTACATTTATGTTCTTCACATTCTCCATACTCATACTTTTGGGTCACTCGGTGCTCCATCACTTGATGATGCGGCATCCTCTTGTTCTACATTACCTAAGGCTCACCGTGGAGTCCCGTCACAGGCGACGCATTCAGCTACATTTAAATCCTACTGAAGATGCTACTTTGGTTAGTAATTTTAACATAAATAGTTATTTAACATCACTAAATAAATTCAAAGCCCTCGTTAAACGGAAATTAATCAATAAAGCTTTTTATAAAGTTGAGGAATACTTAAATGATCCTAATCCTTGGGATTGATTTGCTCCAGTTCAAACAATTTGTATGACAATACTTGGCGATTAAAAAGAGTGGCGGAAAGTTATTGCCAGTTCTTCTTACCCGCTCTACGCCCTTGACTTGCGAACTGGTAGTAAATGTATATTTACAATTAATTTAACTTGACAATTCATAAGTGTAATTGTTTACCTACATGAATAAAGACATTTTGAGTTTGAGTTTGAACACACTTTTTAGTTTATATAGTATTTGTCTTGCTCTTTCAAATTTCTATGTAACGTAGAGTAAACTCTGATCCTACGGGCTCATTAATAATTGTGGTCAGTTTTTTAAATGTTTTAACCTTTTTGTATAAAAGCACATTACATTTATGATTATAATTATATTATCTTTTCTGTAATATATAATTTATGTTAACTATAGGTTTACAAAAAATATATTAATTATTTTCTAGATGGAGAGTGAGGCTGGTGACGCAACTTATGGTGTGTTGAAGTTACAAAGCCCTGCTCCTTCGAATACAGGTAAATTTATTTTCGTAAGTTACCTTGTATTGGGCAGAAAAGCTAAAATATTATAAGTGATATTAATAATAGCGCTTCAATGTAAATTGTGTAAATCAGTGAAGTGATCTTCTAATCTAAACAACTGAAATCGTTAATTTCAGTAAAGCTGTACTAAGAAACGCTTACTGACAAATCTCTTCCTAATCTAATACGAAAGCTACAAAATATACAAAAGCTTCCGTTTGAATATATGTACCTTTATTTATTTTTAATAACTTAACATTCCAGGTGAAACAGATAACGCGTTCAGTTTCGCTAATCCCGTTTACTCACCAACTGCGAGTGGCCCAGAGCCTAGAAGCTCTAGTGGTGCTTCACCACCTCCAAGTGCTTCTCAACCTTCAGCTTCCCCTTCCGCGCTGCAAACCCCAAGGCCTTCATACAAAGTTGAGGACGTGGTCTTCGAACCACCAGACCGACCTACCTCATGGAGGGGCTTTAAACGTAAGTTTTCACTTACCGCGTAATAGAAGTTCAGAATTAAAAATTGACTCCTACGCCTATACGTTTACAAGGTTTAGCAAAATAAGGGTGATAAGGGACAAACGCCTGCGGACAAAATATAGCAAAATCTGTTATCTGCGCATATGAAAAATGAACTAAATTTATTTTATTCATAAAAACACTTCAGCATTAGATTGTACTTAAGAAAGTACCATGCTTTTCGATCTTGCACATTGTTAATATGTAAATTTCGCATACCTCATTTTTTTATTTTTTGAATAGGTATGATACAAGCTATGATAAAACTATCAGTGCTTGCCTAATAACATATGTAACGTGCTTTTTTATAATATGTATGTTTAAGGTAACGAAGTGTAGATAAATAAATACTTTAAATAAACTAATTAGACCGATTTACAAATAATCGTTAGACAAATATATATTTTTTTTCAGGTAGCGTGCAGGCACGATGGTCAGTTGCAAGAGCCATCTACCCTTACATGGTTTCCATCGGTCTGGTCTACTTCACAACACTGAGTTTATATCCCGGAATTGCTTCTGAGGTACCTTCATGTCGACTGGGGTCTTGGATGGCTATCGTTCTGATGTCATCTTTCAACTTCTTTGACTTAATAGGAAAGGTATGTAGAGCTTTTGCGTGGGTAATGTTTTGTAAGTCGGAGCGGGGTATGGGGTAGACTTGCGCCATCATCATTTTTATTTCTATGTTCATCCTGTGCCTACCAACCCGAAACAATTATTTCGGCGGGAATTAAATCCCATTGCAATACTAATAATACATTTATAATTGCAATACTAATAATACATTTATAGTTGAATGAAAAAGTACTTCAAAAATTGTATTTGCTCGTTAACAAATTTAAAAAAATATTAGTTCTTCAAAAATTGCCAATTTTCTCCTGTTTTAAAATAAAGATATAGTGTTAGCCTTAGATAAAACATCAAAATTACCGACAAGGCATTAATAATAGCTTTACAATAAGGAAGTAATATATAAGTTCCTCATAGTCTTTTAATTAATCATGACGAGATGAAGTAATAATTCTGAGTAGAATGACGTAATGAGTGTCATTATTACAATGCACCAATTTTAAACAGAAAATGTATTCTATGTTAATACGTTATAATATTATTCGTTGAACTTCGATGTCGCCAAAAGCCTATAAATTTTATTTATCAATGATTATAATAAAGCCTTTTTATATCCATTTCAATGTTGTTAGTATTAACTTATAGCTAAATGTTAGTAGTAATGTTTTACTCTACTATTTCTATCAAGTCAATTATTTATCAAGACTAGAAGCGAATTGTCGTTTATTTCGTGCGTTACGCATGAAAAGTACGCACACATGGTTTTATATCAATGTTTAAGTTGAAACTTGAAAAATATAATAATAAAGAAGTTGAACGTAGTACTCGCTTGAACGTTGTGGGTACGTACAAATTTATAAGGCATACCAATTAACATGAAAATTTGACTTGATTTTGAAATCACTTACATTTTTTTCAGGCTGATTTATTAGTTAATGCCCTGTAATCCATTATTCCGTATGCCACCCCATTTCATATATGAACTTGTTACCAAGAGCGACCTTTGAAGTTTATCTTAATATTTAATTTTTATTATCAATTTTTTAGTTCCTTATTATGTCTTCCGTCTTGAACTTTATCAAAAGTTGTATTTTTAGCTCAATTAAAATAACGTTACAATATTAGTGGATAGTTTTGTTATCTATTTTTCAAAACTTTTAGGTCTGGGCTTCAGAACTCTGTATCAGTTTCGTGACCATTTGTTTTTTGTTATGTGCAAGGTGATCACCCTTCTATGCAGGACGCACGCGGCGCGTCGCACATACTTTTTGTTGTGGCTGGTTTCCTCACGATTCATGTGTTGTTAATCCACGCATTGAAAGTACATTGGAGCACGGTTCGAACTTAGGACCTCAATGATCAGCACGCTGAAGCCACCAGACCAACACATCTATTTTTAGAATGTTATAAATTAAAAGAATAAAAATAAAAGCTTAATATAGAATATGGTCAATATTTTTCAATTCATTCAATAATATATTATAGAAATTCTTAGATTCAAGATTCTTAAGGCAGCTGTTACACGTAAAGTATTTACTGTGTTTTGCCAATAAATGTTCATGTATCAAGGTATTTATGGAACGTGTAACCAGCGTACTGATTAATGTCAATATTGAGTAATGAATTTCTAGATTTCTTGATTCCGTATTGACGATCCTTCAGAATGTGATAAATATTGAACGTTTAATCTCAATAGGTTCACTTTTCAAGTCTTTTAGATCTACTTGAATACCTAACACAATATGTTTTTAAGTAGGTAGATAGATAGAGATAGAAGTGCTTCAAAGCAGATATCGGGCTTTCGAAAATAAGTTTCGTAATCATCCTTTTCGCCATGTAGTTTAATTTCGGCCATTAAATTTAAATGGGTTTTAAATTTAAATTCTCTTTGTAGGTACCAGTATTTTGCCCATCGTCTTCTTTTACCTTTCTTTTTTAATACAATTGCTAATATGCCACACAAGGTGTAATTTTGAGCTCTGTGTCCATTTTAACGAGTATTCAGCAAGAAACCGGACTATATACTGACGTAACAAATATTGATCGTGTGTCTGGTGTATTAATCCATCTTTAAAAGCAGACATCTATCAACAAATACCGAGGTGACGAATCACAGTAAATACTTTACGTGTAACAGACGCCTAAGAAGTAAAAAATATAATATTGAGGTTGTGCACGCGCATGTCACGCATTTCGAAATATAGTTTCACTATCACTAATTTACGATTACCTAGAATTTAAGATTATATGCATTTCCATATATAGTGCAAGTTTTTAATGATAATGAATAAATATAATAATATATGTTTAATATTTTAACGAAAGAAATCAGCACATATCAGTATCATTATTCATTAACATTTAAATTCGCACCTGCATATACACAATTTAAAGGAATAACCGTGGAGTAGCTCCATATCACAAGTAGGGGACACCGGGCTAAGACGAGGTCCGGGATATAACGGGAAATATAGTATAGTGCGTGACTCGTACACACGAATTTGAAATAAGTCTGATAATGAACAAAGATTGAAAAGAAAAGAATTTAAAGAAAAACAAAACCGAATAAGAAAAAAAGGTAGAGATAGTTCGAGTTCTTCCCAAGAATATAATGTAGATTTTTATACTCAGAATCAACAGAATGTTGGGTTTTCCGCAATTTTTACCATGCTTGGGCTCATAATTCTAGTTCAGGAGTTGACAATAAAGACGAACAAGCCTATACATGCGAACGTTGCCTATAATAACACTATACACGCTTTGCCCCGATGCTGGGGCAGAATGGGAAAACTATCATCATCTCCAAATATATTATTTTCAAAAAAAAAATTGTAATTTAACTTATAAAGTCTTTAATGATAAGTAGATAGATATAAGAATTACTGTTATTTAAAATGAAAAATATTTTTAATGAAGTATGTCATTACCTTTGTATAATGTTTTTTCTTCACTATCCCACTTTGCCCCGGTCTCTCTAAATAATAAGTAATATATGTTCTAATTCAAATGACGCCCTTTTTAGTTTGCAGCGGCATGGCCTTACGAATGGAGTCGCAGCCAGCTACTGATGGCCAGTGGTCTGCGGCTGCTGCTAGTTCCTTTACTTCTACTATGTGCAGCACCTCGGCATTCACCTCACATTATTGGTGACGTTAGTATTTTTGGTCTGTATCAAATTAGTTTGAAGCCGACCACAAAAAAATCAACAAGATGGGCGCACAAAAAATAATTACACACATTTCATGTTAATTTAAAAATATTGCAACCTTTCAAAGTCAAAATAACTTTATTCATATAGGTAACCAAGTACACTTATGAACGTCAACAGAAAAGATGTTTAATTTTCTACCAGTTCGGAAGTCAAGGGCGTAGAGCGGGCAAGAAGAACTTGCAAGAAACTCTCCGCCACTCTTTTTAATCGTGAAGTATTGAGTCATACAAATTGTTTGAACTGTATCAAAGAGATGGATAGTGATAAAATTACTGATAGGCTTTAGGGCCTAAGAAATTAATAAAATAGTTTAGATTAAAATGGAATATTTATTACAATAAACAAATTTCAGATTTACCCAATTATGTTCTCCGTCATATTGGGCTTTTCAAACGGCTTGTTTGGATCGGTTCCGATGATAATGGCTCCTTCTCGAGTTGGGAGAGAACACCGCGAAATAGCTGGTATGTATCGAAACTAATTTAACATGCTAACTTACTTTTATATATATTCTAGATTAAAAAAAAGTTTTTAAAGGGAAATAATAATTGTTTCGGTTTAGATGATTGATGACGTCAATGATTAGATGTTATCGGTGATGGTAAAATGTCAACCAATTTAGGTTAAAATAATTATTGTTTAAACAATGACGTTAGTAAAAACGTCGTGTGTTACATTAAATTAATTAATATGGACCCCATTAGGATTTACGATAATTCTAAACAAACTCGGTAACGGTAATAGTGGGCATAGTTAAATCAAAGTGCGCATTTAACATTCGCTCGAACGGTGAAGGAAAACATCGTGAGGAAGCCGACATGTCTTAGTCCCAAAAAGACGACGGCGTCAGGCACTGGAGGCTGATCACCTACTTGCCTATTAGATTGAGAAATGATCATGAAACAGATTCAGAAATCTGAGGCCCAGACCTGAAGAGGTTGTAGCGACGTGACACGATGTTTATTTTAATGATTTTAGTTAAATCAAAGAGACAATTAGGTTGATCGAACCTGCTGTGTCTGACACGTCGTCATGATTTGGCTCTAAGACATTTTTCTCCACGTTTTCCTTTACCGTGGCACAGTGTGTATCTTGACTTCATAAAAATAATTACACATCGAATTGATAACTTCCTCCTTCGCTATTTTTGAAGTTGATTAAATTCCCTTTTTTTTCCATTATCGTCCCAGTATAAAAATCCCGCATGTTTACAATGTACATTTTATGGGTCATATTTCAAAGAAAATTAGTGTTAATTTCTTAACACTACGACCACAATTGAGCTTAAGGTGTGCGATTTCCACACTTAACCACATACAAATTAATTGTGAGTAAGAATGTATTTTCAGGTAACATGATGACGCTTTCATACAATGGCGGGTTATTATCTGGTACTCTTGTATCGTACTTGCTTCTTAACATGCTGGGACCGCCAACCGGATCACCATGTCGGATATACCCCACTCCGCCTTTACCAACATTACCACCTATTATTACTACACCATCTAACATTACTTTTATTACAACGCCTCATTAAAGAATGGCTCTACAGTAGACACAAAAAACACCACAGTCAAGAAACAACACAACTTCACGAGCTATTTGAAAAATTACGTTCCATAACATTGGTTATATAACCGAGAACCATAATGACGTCAGCTAGATTCCGAATTTCGACATGGCTGTGGTTGGTTTTGGAATTTTATATTGAAATTGGAATCACCATTGATTTTTATTGTATATCCAAGGAATACAGATTTACGGATAGAAATCCCCCGTGATTTAACCATTATACTGAACAGATTATGTGCGAACTAGGGTTAGTGGAAGTTAAAGCGGCACACATTTTTTTTTTGTTATCGCTTCATTGGATGTCAAATTTTGAATATCGTATAGAAATTTCTTTACTTTAACTAAGAATATACCTTGTATGCTATATTAAATATCTGCAATATAAAAATTGTATATATAGTCGATTGTTAAACACCTAAGATAGTTTAGAAATTAATATTAGTATTTAATTAGATAGATTATAGTTATCATATAAATATCAGTTACTAACATTTTAACGGTACATTATTTCGTATCACCCAATTGTTGTGCTTGCTTTTGCGTTTTTTTTCTATTGCAAAGTAAAATCAACATATTTCTCTGTTTTGTTTACAATCATATTATTATTAAAATTGTGTAAATTAAAGATGGCTTATCAAGGACTGAGAATATGGTAGGTAAGTAAATAAAATTACCAATTTAGTACAAGGAATTAGAAAAATACTAGTGTGAGTTTTTATTATTAAATTGGCGAACTTATACCAGCACGGAAATATTACTGAAATAATTTTATTACATACAAAATAAAAAAATTGCAATAATATAATAAAAATAATGGCGCTAGAACTCTTGGTGCTGCCTTAGGTGCTTTCGTTATTTGTTTTAAAGGCACGTAGGCGATCAACTTCTTTTACTTACATACGCCGTCAGCCTTTTCAATATGCCGTGAAAAAGACCAAAAAATTGTTGATTTCACAAATACAACTTTTAAAAACTTTCATACATATCAAGTATTGAAATACAATACAAAATGGCAACACATAGTGTGCAAGGCTACCTGCCACATAAAACATTAGGCATGAGAACGTCAAATAATAGTGACATAATGACAGCCTGTAGATAAATCCACCCTTTGTGCACAGTCGGGATTTAATAGGCCAACACTGCTCAATAAAATAATACACTAATATTGGTCTTTAAACAGTTAAAAGTTTTTAAATTTTCAAGTTCATTTACATACAAAATAGTCGTAATATTTTATTATACTATAATTAATCTGAATATAACTAATCGTAAATATAATTGTAAATGCAAGTATCATGTTTGGAAAATAACCAATTATTATTTTACTAACGTTTAATTTAATATTTGTAATGTCATATCTCTCACTTGTGCTTATATTGAAATAAAGTGATGTTGAAAATTTTATCCGGCTTTTCTTTGTCAGAGAGAGCTTTGTAAAATTATTATATTGGGATATAGAAACGTTTTCTACTTAAAATTAATTAATTTCCAACACACAAATATACAATATTAACAATATTCTTAATAATAGTAATAATAATTAACAATTGATAAATAGGAAATTAAAACAAATTTAAAAGGTTTGGTCCTTGACGCCGTGTATCTTTAATGCTGACAGCATTTCTTCGCTGTACCTATTGCGATACTCATTCGTTGAGCGAGTAAGGCACCAACTCTGGGGTCATCGGCAGGTAGGTAATATCTACCAAACGCCAACTTAAACCTTTAATAAGCGCCTGGGCACTTGAAACCCCACAGCTCAAGAGTCTCTACTGCAAAGGAAACAAAACAAAGTTAGAGGCCTATCCTCTATTGTTTTGTTTTATATTTTAATTTTCTCTTATATTTTAGCCATTTATTATTATCCGCCTGCTCTGCAGCCTCGCCAGCTTATGTGCTTGTTCGAGGGAGGGGAGACGGGGCTAACGTGTTAACACGAGTAGCCATACCAAAGCCCTTCCCATCCTGCAAGGCTTCAAAGACATCCCATCCGGCCGCTTGCCATCGTCTCTAGCGATGCCTGCTGGCTCCAAAATGGCTGGAATATTGACGGAGGCGAGAGAACTGTGTTTGATGTCGTTGACTGCGGCGCGGCGTGCCGAGAAAAACGACTTTTCTTTTACGGTACTTATGTTTTATATTTTCATTCTGCCTACTTAATTGGACATGGGCAAATTAGGATTAGGAAGTAACAACATTAGAATTCGAAACTCTTACTGTTTTGCTGAGAATCAAACTCTCCTACTCTACTCTACCTAAACCTACTCTCAGACTCTTCAGGCATAACTCCGTATTCTAATCACATGCAGGTAAAACCGCGGCCACCGATAGCGATAGCTGTGTAAAATTTATTACGTTTCTGACCTTTACTGTAATTGTAAAATAGTGTGCGTAAATACGTAATTCAATTATATTATTGCTTGTCAATATTTAATTATGTTTACTATGAACAGTAATTCACTCCATGTCACGATACCAATATCTTGTTGTTGAGCTAAAAATATCATAGGTACATCATTTCCTAAAAATAATAATTTTTTTGTTTTTTCATTCTCGTTTTATCACGCCAAAGCAATTTGTCGCTTAATGAACTCGATGTACGAACACTATCTTATAAAAACAAAGATTGGGGCACATCAGTAGTTTAACTCATATATTTTTAAGTTAAACAAATTTTCTTATTTTTAGAATGATTTTTATTGTATGAAGAGTGAAAATATTGTAATAATTCTGTGGAATATTGAGCCAAAACCGGATCATCAATCAAGCATTAAAGCCTTGTATCTTTTCAGAATTTGAATCTTATACGCTCGTAATATTAAAAAGAAAAGAAAACCCCGAACAAATATGAACAAGCTGTACTACAATACATTTTCTTCCGAAAAATGGGCATGAGTTGGAATAGATACGAGAAGTCGCATTTATATTTTTTCTTACTAAAAGAACTTACTCCCACCACAAAATGGTGCCAAGTTAGTACTTATACAAAAAGAAAATAATTAACTCCAGATTAATCCATTGTTATATAAAAACGCTTTAAGTTTTTAAATCCTTGTAAGTGTCGAAGTCACCTCCATATCGAGATTTGATAGTCGGTCGACAATTAAAAATCACGCTGATATCATGTACCAATGTAGTGATTTAGAGAAAGTGCGCAATACTGTTAACCAGCCGCAAATAAACCTTTGTTTGTTCACAGACACAAAAATCAAAATCAACAGTGTATATAATTTGGGCATTTAAAAGAGATTAATGCGATATTTAGCGCACATAGTAATCGATAAAATTTAAAATTAATAAAGCCATACATTTTAGCGATATCTATTTTTAATACGTAGGTAAGTGTGTAAGAAAAAGAAAATGAGTTGTCATAGATTAGATATTCATAATGAAAGGCTGTGTGTTTAAACAAACATTTTGCAAAAAATACAGAAAGATTATACTACTATTTAGTTATATTTTAGTATTGTCTTTGATTAACATAACTTTTATTCATTTAATAAAACACCGTCACCGTCACCGTGACCACGCACGCTGTAAAGCACGCGAAACGTCGGATAATTTTAAAATTATGTTAAATAGTTGTAAATTTATAATAATACATAACTTCAATCCGGTCAAAATAGTGTTTTATTAAATAGTTATATTTTATTTATTTTTGACACAATAAAATTACCACAGTTGAAATACAATCTCACTTATTAGGTATGGTATAAATGAACATGTAATTACTAATTATGGTGAATTGGGTTTGGAGTAATAAAACAACAATACATAAAAATAATTCATTAATACATAGGACATTGAACATCATACATCGGACATCGGACACACACAATGACTAGTATAACACCGCTCGCTGTTTACAACAGCTGGTAATAGGCGTTTGAATAGGAGACAATAATTCCAATAACATCTCAAAGTTCATCTATCTCTTACGGCGTCTGGTTCGAGATCTATTGGACTGTGGACTCCACTCTAAACTGAGATCACTTGAAGAGGGTGGCGTTTCAGGGAACTGCGCGTTGGACGTCCATCTACATGAAGCACACGCTGGTTTGGGAGATTCAACTACTTTTTCTCCGCTGCTGAGCCCTCCGTAGGACTCCAAAATGTGTTTATATGCGCACTCCAAGGGCTCCGGGCTGCGGCCACGGGCAGCGCACAACCTCAACCGAACACAGGCATTGCAATAACCGCAAGTGTCACCGCGTAAAGAATTTTTCACCATTTTTGACGTGCGTAACAAGTTATTGTCCTAAAAAGACTATTGTGGACGTCTTCGATACGGTATATTTATGCGGCGTACCGCACGCGACAGCTGATAACCCCTTCTCGGCGCCGAAGTGTTACCGACCGCTTAGCTCTGGCCTTAGAATCAATAATGGCTAATACTTATAAGTAGGACTATATGAATACGACTCTACGTAGTCTGATATAGAAGGAATCTGACGAAATAACAGGAAACTATATAATTATTATGACTAATGCTATTTATAAAACTAGGGACCTCGACTCGAGGATTTTCTATATAATTCGTTCTTGATTTATTTCACTCACCAACGCCTTTAAGTGTCTAACGCATGCCGGTTTCTTTTCAACGTTATCCTTAACCGTACGGCAGAGTTCGTCGCGGACATAGAAAGAAAAATCTATTGGTGCAAACCGGGAATCGAATCTGCGTCCTCAGGGATAAGAGACGCACGATCAAGCAACATATACAACATTATACATCGTATTTGTGCCATAATTCCTATTCCATTCCTTACACACACTATTACATAAAATAGGAGAGGCTGGAGGTGCATGCTCTACCCAAGCCAATCTCTCTAATAATCTGTAACGTATTAGTGTGGTCTGGGTCATAAAAAAACTGTTAATGCGAAGATAAATTTACTAAGCAATGAATGTAATTCATTATTAAAACAAGTAATAAACCCCTTATAAGTGTAAAATATTAAATTGAAGATGTCAATTATATTTTATGTCCGATAGCGTCAGTATTGTTCTAGATCTTTACCAGTAATCACCAGAATGGCAACCTCAATATAAACTGCAGCGCATTCAATATGACTCGTAAACAAAGATTAGTTAACATATTATACTAATTCATTCCCACGAATTACTAATTTTTTGTATGAAACTATCAGTTTCCTGTAATAGTGTTGTCAGATGTTTATCCAGTGAAATGGCATGTTTTTGAGTTTTAAGCTAATTTTTAATTTTGCAGTAAATATTGGAATTTGGCCCCTAAATAAAATGATTTGAAAAAATGCAGTTAGCGTTAGCTTCAAATAACAAATCGAAAAATATTTAAATTTTCTTGTATCCCCTTAATTAGATACTCTCTTAACATGGGCGTCAAATAATATAAAATTGTTTTGCCATATTGTCTTAATACATTACTATATTTTAAGAACACTAACTAATTTTGAACCTAAGTGTACAGAAATCGCCGATATCATATTTTGTACTTCAGACATATTCATTCATAGAACAAACGAATGTGTACGATATTTCTGGAAACTGATGAATGCGTCCTATAATACATGGGTCCGCTTATCGATGAGTGACTTGATGTAAACAATCACTATTTATATCCTTAATTTCACTAGATTTGAAGAAGTAACGGAAATAGGAATATATTAAAAAATTAAACCCAATCTATAAAGTAGGTAAATTCTCGTAACATAATTGAATATTAAGGATAAATTCAGAAACGAGAATTAGCACTGACTACCGTATGTCAAATAATTATAATAATAATTTATTTATTGCAAGAATATGGTACAAATGCTAAGGTGATACAATCATAAATCGTTCGCATATTCTGCCACACACGATGGCGCGCAAATTCGTCCCAAAAAATTTTACAATATTATTCAAAGCCAATTCCTATATTATCCAGCCTATATATATATTTATATATTTCATCATTAACTTTATATCATTTACGGTGTTTCATGCAAATAATCATTTATTGAATAGTAAACTTTATCCAAAAGCAATTCACTAAGTCGCTTTTTAAAGAATCTAGACGGAAGATCTTTTAATTCTTTTGGTAATTTATTGTAGACTTTAATTGCCATATAAAAGCTGTTTTTCCGAAACAGTTCCAGATTGATTTTTGGCACAGCCAAATTCTTCCCATGTCTACTTCTTACTTCAACTTCTACATTCGACTTAAAAATATGTATGTTTCTGTGCACGAATAAGGATATCTCTAAAATATAAATACATGGAAGAGATAAAATTTTGAGCTTCTTAAATAAAGGTATGCAACTATCAAGACAGTTTGCTCCACAAATTGCTCTAATACATTTCTTTTGAGCCTTAAATACCCTATTTACTTCGACTGAATTTCCCCAAATTATAATTCCATATCTAAGTATAGATGAAACATATGCATGATAAGCAGCTAATACCGTAGCATGGTTAACAGTTTCCCTTAGTCGTTTTAACACAAAAACAAAACTGTCTATTTTGTTCTGTAATTTTTCAATATGTGACTTCCAACTACAAAATTTATCTATCGTTATACCTAAAAATACACACTCGTTCATTATGTCTAGTATATTGCTTTTATATTGTAAGTCTAATTGTGTTTTAGAGTTATATGTCTGAAAATGGATTATGTTAGTTTTGGTCATGTTTATTTGTAGATTATTGGAATTCATCCAGTTAATGGCGTCGTCTAGAGATTTAATTAAATTGTTTTTTAAGTCTTGTTCGTTTTTACTTTTTATTATAAGTGTAGTGTCATCAGCAAATAGTATACAGTTCTGGTGTATAGCATCTGGAAGGTCATTTATGTATGTTAGAAAAAGTAGCGGGGCCAAAATACTGCCTTGAGGTGTTCCGTACTCATTTTTCTTAAAATTGGATCTATAGGTTTTTTGCTCTAGTTTACAAATCTTTGTTATTTCCACATATTGCATTCTATTTTCAAGGTAACTTTTCACCCAGTTATAAGCATTACCTCTTATTCCGTAGCAATCTAATTTTTTTAAAAGTCTTTCATGACATACAAAGTCAAAAGCCTTTGTCATATCTAGAAAGATGCAACCTATAAGCATTTTATCATTTAAGCATTCAGTAATTTGTTTGACTAGAGAAAAGCACGCAAGGGTGGTAGAACAATTTTTTCTGAAACCAAATTGTTCTTTTTTTAAAATATCGTATGATAAAAGAAATTCTCTATTTTATTATACATTACTTTTTCGAAAATTTTAGATAATATGGGAATTAAAGTTATTGGTCTATAATTAGTCATTTTTGTTTTTGCTCCTTTTTTATGTAATGGTTTGATAATTGATATTTTTAGTTTTTCAGGAAAGATTCCTTCTACTATCGATAGATTAATTATGTATGTCAGTGGATCGAGTAGGTATAAAGCGCATGATTTAATTGTTTTGGTATCTAACAATCAAAATCATATCAATCAATGTCTTAGATTTATTACATTAAATATTTATTTAAATATGTATTACTCTTGTAAACAACAAAATAGACAATTATAATTCTACTAAATCTAAGACCATCGCAAGAAATCGTCTGCTTGTAGAAATTTGTCCACGGCATATTGCACAGCCATCTATCTAAACCAAGTTTTTAACGAAATATGGGTAATAGAACGCCTCGCTTATATTCTACGTACTGAGTTAGAGAAAGAGACCGATAGAGAGTAGCTCAGTACGAGAAATCGTAATCTTCTAAGTAATTTAGCCTAGGATAGGTAAGCGTACGATTCTCAGCCCCGAGGTCGATCGTTCGCCAGCTATGCCCAAATGCATTTTTTTACTTTTACGCGGAAACTTGCTTGAACGGCGATGCAGCAGCATCTGACGTGACTGGGATACATCAATTTATGTCAAGCAAAGAAAGTTGATCTCTTAACAAATATTTCACTGAAACAATCACGTGTTGGTTACATGGATTGATCGACGATACACATATAATTAGTGTCGATAAATTTAAGGGGTCATTAATAAGATAATTCTCACACTGTAAAATACAATATTTTTTTAATTTTCCTTAACCAGCAAATAATACGTGTGTCCCAAAAGACAACAAAATATATAAAACTTATTTTAGATAAAAATAATTGAGGTAAATTAATTAAACTATTTTAAGTAAATTGTAAATAAAGTCTATAATATATATAATTGATAAGCGGTCATTTACCTATATATTGAAATAATAACAAAAAATACGAAGACTAGGTATTTACATAATGTATAAGTTGGTCGAAACAAATTAGGTATATCTCTGCATACTTCCTGGACATTTTGTCCCAAAAATATTTGTTAAAAAAAGTTATAAACTTGAAAGGGCTACAAAATTTGTTAATATTTTAACAAAATAATCTCAAAATATAAAGATATACGGCCATTTAATTTTTATTCTCGTCTTGCTACATGTAGGATTTGAATAATTTGCGATCAAGAAACTTTAGTATTTTGAAAGTTCGTCAGTGTTACTACTAAAGATGCCCGACCTTCGATCAAGTAAAGGCCCTTACGGGTCTGACCATCACCCAGGCGCAGGGGCTTGCCGAAGACTGGGGAGAGTGGAGGTAGTTGGAGGAGGCCACTAACACGATCATCAGAAATGAAGAGTGGGACTGGACTTTGTACTTTTTTATCATTGTAGGCAGGAGGACAGTTACTTTATCATACATATACTATCACACTATCTTCCGTTTACAAATAAGCTTTGAGCCAGATTTAAACTAGACAAAACATACTTTAGCATATAGCCGATAAGAATTTTTTGGTTAAATTTTGCTGTGTGATAAAAATTATAATTTTGAAAATATCAAATACTACATAATATGTAAACTAATTATCAGTATTGAATTGGCAGATAATTGTTGCAATAACCTTAACTGACCCTGAATCTATCGATTTTAATATCAGTTTCTCATGTACGTATATAGGGAAAATGTCAAAATGCGGCACGAGACTATGTTTGAGAATATTCCGATATTACCTTCTTTATTTAACACTTGACCAACTAGCCACGGTTTTCACAGTTGTATCTATGATGACTTGAATTATGAAAAATGATTGAGGGATAATCAAATATATATATATTAAATTAAAAATGAAATAATTGATGTAAATTTTAATAAGTAATATACAATAGTAGGAGAATGAAATATTAGGGAGGCAGAAATGTAAAAACATAGCTATATTAAAAATGTATTAAGTTTATTTTATAATATATAGAACCTATCTTTATACTATACAGATAGCCAGAAAGTAACTGCAAAGTACTGATTAAAGTAAAAAGTTATTGGCTTAAAACAAATATGATTATGTTAAAACTAGGCGAATTTTGTTTTGAAATTATAGGGCATTGTTTAAGCTTTTGCTGAGCGCATCAAAGTAATCATTTTTACATAGGACATTTAAAGATTTAAGATAATGACAGAAACGGTTATTTCTTTTTGTATTCAATGTGTTTTTCTCCAACCTACATATGGTTCTGCAAGACGGCCAGTAGTCAAGGGCTAATGCTCTTCTGTCCAGTACCGCTCCAAGATTTAAATAACTTGACAAAGTATGATGACGAGATGCAATTTTCTCTTGCTCTCTGAAATGTAATATATAAATTAGATTTATTTTTAAATAACTTTATTTGATATTTAGATGAAGTGAGAATTTTTTTTTTCTCATCAGTAGTTCAGTGATGTTAAGGTTTTTTGTTGTATGTATTTTTTAAAACAGTGATAATCAAAGATATAACATAAGCGAAATAGAGTAACTGAACAATTACATTATTTCTAAAATGTCTAAAACAGAAAGCCCAACTTGACTTAATGATATACTTGGCTGGAACCAAAAATATTATGTTTAACTAATGAGATCAAAAGACAATATTAAAACTCACCTTTCTGTATAATATCCTGGAGCAGAGATATCGATAATTACTTCACTCTTGCAATTTGTTGTACATTTTGAACCTAATAAACCAAGCTCTCTGGCTATATCTTTGCTAACTTCATTATTCCTATTATAATATTCATAACTTTGAGTTTCATTGAGACTGGCACTTTCTTTTGGATACCACATTTTGTCACATATGTTTGCTCTTTTGGTGAAACAATCAGCTTCAGATATAATACAAAGCCCATTTGATATAGATATTAGCTGTTTTGAATCCTGGTTATCATTTTCTATGTGACTTTCATATACATTGGAAATACTCCACCATACACTTAATAGGTCTAATGGGGCACCAAGACTGATTACTTTAATATGTTGCTGTACTAAATTTTTTGATGTATTTGGTTGGGTGGTTTTGTCTGTATTATATTCATCTGTCCAAGATAAACATGAATTCTCGTCTTCTATACTTAATTTATCATGTGCTATTTCCTGTGAATTTTCACATGTCGAGTGCTTGTAGGACACCATGTAAAATTGCAGGCTATGAATTGTTTTTCGTATGTCACCTTTGTAATAATCTAATAACCCATCACCAAGACCAGGAAAACAAATTCCCGTGTCAGCTACACACATAATATCTAACCAAGTCCCTGACATTCTTGGTAAAAACTTATGCATTTTAATAACTTTCCCAAGCTGAATGAATTTTTGCAAATGTTGACAAGACAGAGAACTTGTTATCAATATAACTGGTCTTTTTGAACTTTGAATTAATTGTGAGATAGCAGAACAGAATCCATCATCTTGTTCAAACACAATATCAGCATCATCAATTAATATTAAAGAACTGTCAGTTCTTACACTATCTTGACTAGAAGAACATTCTACAATGCATTTCATGTTTTCGATTTTTTTTACATCCTTTGACAAATCTTTTGCTTTCTTGGGTCGTCCTCGTTTCTTGGGCAATTTAGGTTTAGCTGTTTCCTGAAGTTTTTGGCTATTATCTGAATTACTTTTTCCCCTATCTACTTTATGGGATCTTGTTGCTTCTTGGAGATCTTGTAACATTATTTTTCCTGTCCTTTTACTACTAGAATTCACTTCAATAACTTTTATAGCCAGTTCTGCTGCAACTGCATAAACGCTAGATGTTTTTCCCGAACCGACGTCTCCACAGATAACCAACACATTATTAGAAGTTCTCAATGTCTCTCTACTTTCATCATCTGAATCTTGAAAATCATCAAAATCAGAACTACCACTACCTCCACCTTTTTTAGTCTTAACTAAACTTTCAGTCCATGATTGTAACCATTTCTTTAACTCATCAATTGCTGCAAAGTTCCCAATAATTTGTTTTGTAGATGTAGGTTTATATTTTTCAACCCAACATAATTTGTCTATAGAATCAAAATCATTTGGAAGATCATGGATTATTTCAATGCTGTTGTCTAAATCTGGGTAATTGAAGTCTTTGTTTTCACCGTTACTTTTTCCTTTCAATAAATGATAGGTTCTGTACACTGGAAACTTGTGATATGAATGTTTTATCATATGTAAAAGATTTTCCTGGTCATGTTGATTTGATGGAATTACTTGCTTCACTTCCTCATCCATGCTAGTCAAAGACTTGAAAAGATTATCATTGATTTCTAAATTTGAATCATTAGATGAATCACAGAGGGAAGAAAAATTTATTTCAATTTTATCTAATGTCTTTGCAATATTTTGTTGAATGTGGACTACAGGATGAAACTCTAATTTAGCAGTATTATTTTTAAGTTGTGAATTATCTTTTTTCAACTTTTGAGGAATACCACTATGCAAGAATTTCTGTCTGGCTTCTTTTTCTGCTACACTGAGATTTGATAGTTTTGATGTAAAAATAGGAGCTAATTTCAATGGGTTGATTAATTTATTATCTGTACACTTCATAGGCTTTATTTGTGACTGTGAATTTTCATGGTTTTCTTTAATAGATGGATTTTTATTTTGACATAATTCTTTAATACCTATTAAATTTAAGGTAGACTTATTTACAGTAAATCTTCCTGAATTCTTTTTTTTTTTTGGTGTAAATATGTAAAGCTCCTCATCAGAACTGCTTACTTTAGTATCATCTAGGTATTTAGCTGGCCTTTTAGTTTTTCGTTTAGGTCGTTTATCGTCATTTATGACTTCAGTGTCATCTATTGGAATTAAGTTTGAAGTAGAACATTCAGATACTTTGAGCTTCCTACTTTTAGTTAAATCCTGTATTTCATCACATCTGCTGATTTCCATTTTATTCTGAGGATTATTAGAAAATTTTTGATCTTTGTTTCTTCTATGTGATTTTGTTTTCATTATTTTTGATTTAAATTTTACCTTAATAGTATCAGTTATTTCCCCTTCATCAGCAGGGTTATCTGTATCAGCAACTTTTTCTTCTACTTTAGGAAAGTAACTCATCATATTTTCTTTTTTGCGAATAGAAGGAGATAATTTACTTAAAAATTCCATATCCTCGGTAGAAACTTTCTTTGTCAATTTTTTACTAAAACCCTCTGCATCTGATTTTTCAAACATATTACATAATTGTAAAGTCTTCTTAACATCTAGTAAGTGAGTATCATTAACATCAATGATTTCAATATCACTCAAAGAATGTTCTTTATTCTCATTCGTTTTATTTTTTCTCTCAGAGTTTTCCTGACTAAGCATAAGTTTAAATGTTTCTGCCTGTTTCGAAAGTTGTTTCTTTAAGGTTCTATCTCTAAAATCTTCAAGTTCTTTATTTTTTAGTGATCCTTTCGCCTCAGCCATTTTTTGTAATGACAATACTCTTTTTGCTTTCAGTTCTCTTTTTACTAAAAGTTCCTGGCATTCAGGCTCAATGACAGGTCTATGTTTCCCAGGAGAGTTGCTTCCAATGCTTTTAAGTCTGGACTCCATCAACAATTGAAATGCATTAGTAGAAGACTTTTCTTGGCTATTGTTTAGCTCTAAAGTCACAGCCTTACTATCTTCACTTTCTTTATTAGATTCAATTAAGATATTACATTTTCTTCTTTTACCCATATTGGCCTTTGATTTATATATCTTTAGTAGATATTAAATATACTATCTCCAACACAAATAGTGGCTTATTGACAACTTTGAATTCAATAGGTACCTGAACTGAAATTAAGATTTCTAGATTTTTCTGTCATTTTTATAAGCATAATAGTTGTATAAAGTCGGTTATTTGATCATTTTCCTTTAGAAATTCAAGCATACTGTCATAGTGCACACACATTGCTTTCATATTTCACTTTTCAGAAGAAAAAAGTACGTTTATGAATAAAATATTTTTCTTATTATTACATGACTAAGAAGTTAAGTCACATTAATAATTTATTTAGATAAAGTACATTCAAAATCACGGACAAATTAAAGGAAATAAATATTAAATTGGCGCTCAAAGGCAAAAAGCACTAACATAGATTATGAAAATGAAACATCACATTACACATGTAAATAAAGCTACGTCATAAGTCACAATGGAGGCCTCAGGCCAGTGCAGTGGCCACAAACTAGAAGAATTTGACACAAAGATATAGAGATTAGAAGGCCAAAGCTACGGCCAAATTTGTATTTTTTAAGGAGGTTAATTTGTGATTAAAGTTAATTTGGAAGTACCAAATGTAAGTAGATATAAAGCATAAAAGGATCTCTACCGAGTACCGGATTTGGGGCTTAAGAAAAAATCACTTTGCCAGTAGGCGTCACCAAATTAACTCAAGTTTTTAATTTTTGAAGTGAAACTTTTTAGAATAGACTATAAACCCATGGAAAAAAATACCTGTGAAATGAACCAACGTGAATAACGCTTAGAAGGCTGTTACTAGGGCTCCCACACAAAACTGCGAATTCGCATCGCATCGCAAATATCTGCGAATTCGCACGAACGCACCGCAAGAAGTTCCGATCTGCTTCGCATCGCACATTCTTGCGATATTACGTTATCCTTGGTGACGCCATTTTAGTCCGCTCTGAGACAGCTTTAGAGAAAGACGCGCGGTGCCTCCGCCGCCTTCTTTGTTTATAAAAAATTGCGGAATATGATATGGGTTTTTTAATATTTTTAATTGAGGAGCGTCCCGTCCTTTGGGACACAAGTGATGAACATTATAAAAATAAATTTATTAAGCAAGATACGTGGAAGAGCGTCTGTGAAAGACGTACGGCTGACTACGAAGGAATGGTCGCCCTACCAAACGGTTCGTCGCACTAAATCGTATCGCAGAAATTCGCATCGCATCGCATCGCAGTTTTGTGTGGGAGTCCTTAATCATATAATAACTCTGAGCACTGTGCCGTCATTTCTGAACGGTACAGGTGAGTACGTGAGTGAATGGAATTTCTCAGGTACAAATGAGGATTTACGACTAATTATTAATGTACGGCTTTGTTATAGTGTATAGATGATTAAAAATAAATGTCGGAAAACCTAGTGTCGTACTAAAGTGGTGGTGCCGAAAGTTAGTGCCAATTTTTAATTCGACTATGATTGCAGAAACAATATAGGTCATTTATAATTGTACGGCATTTGTGTAATTCCTTTAATACACATATACAGATACTTTACCCGTAAACGCCGTACATATTTCCAGCGCAGGGGTCGAAAGCAAAGGGTCGCAACATATCTCTGAAAAGCATATAGGTGATGATGATATCGAACAACATTAAATTAAATAATCTTGAGCGTACTTCACAAATAGATAATTTTTTCCAGCATGCCGTACATTTTTGGTGGAACACATAGGTGTATGGGGTAAATTACTTCCCTCCGAAAAGAGTGACTTTTATCTGTACGGAAATAACACAGGTTATAATACTTTAACAATACTTTAGACATTCCTCAACAAAAGATAAATGCCGTACACTTTCGATAGTCCGTGTGAAATGGCAGATTATTCCACCGCCTACCTATATATACCATCTTTTTATTTTTGTCAAAAATATTTTGCCTTTACCTCTGCTGGTACGAAAAGGCTGTAAATATACTTTACAGCCTTATGGTAGTATACTCAGATACGTTCACTTGTGATGCAAATGAGGAGGCTGATACGAAAGTAATAAACCATGTTTGCAATATGCTAAACAACAGTAACATATTAATAAAATGCTCCGACACGGACATTTTTATTATTATGTTGGCTAACACAATTATGAATCATGATTGCACTTCTTTGGCTGCATTTCACGCATTCACGGGGTGCGATTTTAGGCCCTAGTTTTACAGGAAAGCAAAAACTAGACCATTGCAGCTCTTACTGAAATCGCTGAAGTCCCAAGAACCATTCATTACAATGGGAGAGTACACAATTGTAACTGATCTAAATTTGACGTTATTAAATATTTTGTTTGTTTGATGTATAATTTCAGAGCAGTTTCAACTGTTAATGAAGCGAGATGTATATATTTCGTCAGAATATACACACCAAAAAATTAAAAAGAAGCATTACATCAATCTACAAACTAAATCAAAATAAATTTATTTATTTTAATCATAAATCTTTCAGAAGCTTGAATGCTGAAGATAACACTTTTCACTTGCTATATTATACGTAATGTGTCATTCTTTCAGTCATTATTTTTATAGTAACAGCCTTCTAAGCGTTATTCACGTTGGTTCATTTCACAGGTATTTTTTTCCATGGGCTTGTAGTCTAGAAGCATGAGGGTAAATTTTTTACGGATGAAACATCACGAAGATGTGCAGCGTTTTTGTCGAAGAAAAGGGAGAGATGATTGAGACCAATTGAGAGAGAGTGAGAAAGGGAGATCTAGAAAAATACACGCTAGTGGCAATTCTGTCGCTTAACGTCTTGTGCAGTATACGCAGATTTTTATTTATTTATATTTCACGTATACAGTGTGAATATAGCTATATACAAATACATGGAGTGATCATATTATTATGTACTGTATGATCATCTATTGGGCCTTTTACTTTAGTAGTAAATTATTTTCAAAGAAGTTTCACTTCTGACATAATATTGTGTAACTTGTACGCACTTTTTTTTATGGCAATAGTTTCAATTTTATGCCAAAAATTCAAATTTATCTTTATAGTAAATTTGTGACACTGAAGTTTATTTTTTTTTATCTTTCTTGGCCTGCACCACTTTGAAGTTAAGGTTTGAAGGATTGTCATTTGTCACACGAGTCCATTTTTGTCAATGTCACCTATGGATTATTGGAACTAGGAATTCGATCGCTGGCCACGGCCAACCAATTTTTCCGAAAAAGAATTAATAATTAATTTTGCAAATATATCTAATATGACTTCAAAGGCCATGGTTTTGCCCCTTGTTCGTCAAATTGCGGTAAATATCTTCATTGTAATATGTGATGCTATATTAATGACTAGTGTCAAACCCTGTTATGTAAACGCGTTAATGATAAGTTCTTCCTTATAAATTTTTCATATGGTTTTAGACGAGGGGTTATGCACAGGCTGCTCCTGCGACAAGGGAAGTGCGCGTGAATTCGAATATATTGTCGAATAAGACCTTTGTTGCTACAGTAGATAATGGGTCTCCAGTTACCAGAGTCACCATAGCCTTTAAGTAAGACTTATTAAAAGATTTGATATTTACTTATCCGCCAGCAGAATAATTAATCAACTAAAAGACCAGAGTGTGCGGTCAATGTTGTAGATGATATGATGAATTGGAGAATGTAATTTCAGGGCTGGTTCTCGTTATGAGCCACAAACAGAGTTGGGTGTTGCTCATGTCCTACGATCAGCTGCAGGCCTCAGCACTAGGAATGCTAGTGCTTTCATGATATCTCGCAAACTGTCACAAGTTGGAGCTTCATTCTCTGCATCAGGGGACAGAGAATTCATCTACTACACCCTTGAGGTAAATTACTTTTTAATAATTATATATACAATCAAAATCTGTTATAGTGACATAGAAGGGACTACTTATATTTTGTTGTAAAATCTATTAGTCGTAAAAGGCGATGTCATTGTACCTACTACAATAGAATTCACCTGTAACCTTTAATTTTGGTCAATATAACTAGTATGTTGTTCTAAACGATTTTGTCATAGAATGGTTTTTACTGTATATATTATTATAATTATGTTATTACAGTAGGAGTGCTCTGTACCTAAGTATATATTTAAAGTAGTCAATTTTTTAAATCTTTTATTGCTTCTATTAATTTTATGAGGTATAAAACCATAATTTTTTAATGTAATTTCAGGCCACTCAAGACAATTTAGATGTTGCTCTTGAATATTTGAACAACATAGTGTCTAACCAGGAGTTCAGGCCTTGGGAGCTCAGTGACAATGCTCCTCGTATGAAATATGAGATTGCTTCTCTAGCACCTCAGGTGACTGATTTTATTTTCCAAAGTCAAAGTCAAATCGTTTATTTCAATTAGACCATCTAAAATGGCACTTTTGAACGTCAAAAAAAAAATATAAAGATGATTCTAGTTGCCCCTTCCAAAAGGTAGTTTCGTGTGGAGAAGAATGGGCAAGAAACTCCACACTTACTCTTTTAAACTTAACTTCACATACAATTGATAAACAAAAGGTTTGTGTGACATGGCCCATTTGATTGTTGTATTATATCACTTATAGGTAGTAAATATACCTGTGTAGTGAAGACATCATAACCTGAATCGGCGGAAGGGTAGTGATGTTCTTGCCACACCTTATTTATTTAACATCTGTCTTATCAAAATATTAAAAAATCATTGTAGGTAAGTCAATGTACACTTATAAATGTCAGTAAATAAATGGCCTATGGCCATTAGTGGGACATAAACAACGTGTAATTGAGTATGCTGAAAATCTCAACGTTGATTAAAATTAAACTGAGTAGGGAAGACTTTTAATGATAGCCGATAGGCAATTCTTTGCCACAGGCCCCAGATGGTATAGTTATGCCACTGCTTTCACATAATATCTGTTGTGTTAAACTTTCAGATTCGTGCTGTAGATCTTCTACATCGTGCAGCCTACCGCCGTGGCCTTGGGAATTCCCTCTTCATTTCCCCGAAGAAAATTGGTCATATCAGCTCAGAGTCAGTACAACATTATGCCAGTACAACATTGTCACACTCTCGTTGTGCCATTGTTGTTGTTGGAAGCAACCAGGTAGTTTTACCTGATATAAAATATGACATTAAATTTTTTTTGAAAAATTAAGATATAACTTCACATACAATTGATAAACAAAAGGTTTGTGTGACATGGCCCATTTGATTGTTGTATTTTTTTTCTATTTAAGATTTCACACCTGCCAGTCTCCATGTAGTGTTACTATGAATTGAACCAAGTGCAATGCTCAAAAATACAACAACAAAAAAAGATATCCTAAGTTTTCAAATATATTTAAATTAATTGCCCTTTCTGCATACTAAATTAATTGATTCTTAGAAATTGGTTTATCCCATTTAGTCCAACAGTTATTTAGATAAAGAAGTTTTTGAGTGCGCTTCACTAATTCTGATGGTTGACAATTAACCTGGACATAAGGGGGGAAGGGGGGTGCTTTCGAATTTTGTTACTAAATTGTTACTTGTTTTGTTTATTCAAAATTGTATTTTATCATTATAATATTTTTAATTTTATCAAATGTAAATTAATAACAAACAATAATTGGCTAATACATATTTTCAAATCATTCAGCTCACCAGGAAATTTAATTATCAGGTTTGTAAACACAATGTACCCCTCCTATCTATCCCATATACATATGTGTATTTGTGTTGTAATATATATATTATATTAATTTCACTAGGAGAAAGCCAGCATTGTTGCTCAAGCTTTGCAGTTACCTTCATCTGGTGATGCATCATGTGAAAAGGCTTCTTATTTTGGAGGTGAACTTAGGTATGCAAATTGAAGTAATTTAAAAGTTTTTAAATATTTTAACTACCATAGCCTGTATAAAGAGTAATGAGAGGTGTAAGTGTCATTTTTTCTAATTAATTGTATTACCTTTATACTTAAAAATATGTCAAAACACTAGTAAATAGATTATAATTATCAATCCAGTTATAATATATGTTATTTTGTTGATATTTTAAATAATTAAAGAAAATCTTGTTGAAAGGAGGAAGAAGGATTTCTTATGAAAATCTACATCTGGCAAACATTGAGAATAAAAGTCAATTATATGATGAGATATCAGAAAATTCACGCATTGAAATGATTGCAGGCTCTCAACATGGCTACATAAGAGGAAATATAAAATTAAGCATTTTGCCTCTTGTTTATCCTACGATTTTTAATATTAAATCGATCAAACAAAGTCAATAATGTAAGATGTTTTGAAAGAAAATGTATTAACGAGTTTGTATTCTTAGGTCCGCGGTTCTAGAAAGCCAAAAAATCTTAAATCTAGTTTTAAGTGTGGTCAAACCATATTTTTTTATTAGTGTTAAGACGAGATTGTAACTTATATTAGAATATGGACCTTAATGCGTTTTGAACTTAAAATTAAAAAAATTCTATCTAAATTTGATTGTTTAAAGTGCTGGCTTATGCATCATTGTAGTACATTTTTTAATAAAGGCAGACAAACTTTGTTGGAAAAAATATTGTTAAATTTTTCAGTCATGTAAAACGAAAACCTCATAGTATACCATGTATATGCAAACCACAGTGCGGGCCAATTTACACTTGTGTAATAATAAGTTTATTGTTAAATATCTGATATTGGATTTTTACCAGGAAGGAAATGGGTGGAGATTTATCTCATGTGGCACTAGCAGTCCAGGGAGCTTCAGCTGGTTCTAAACAGAGCCTCGCCCTTGCTGTAGCTGCTAAGGGTATGTTGTATTTGAAGACGAAATGAGAGAAGTAACTCGTTTGGGATAACTGAATTATTTGATTAATGATTATCCTGTTTCTCTACAGCCATTGGAAGTGGACCGGTTACTAAATGGGGAGCTGACAACTCGCCCATTGCCAAGGCAATTGGCAATGTAGGTCCATTTGCTGCAGCTGGATTCAATGTCTCATACTCAGACAATGGACTTTTTGGTGTCATCCTTTCAGTGGCTAAGGACGAGGCAGCTAGTGTATGTATTTCATACAGTGATTGTTTGTTCATACATTCATCTATTATGATTTTATTTCTTCTTGCTTTATTAACTTAATCAGTACTTAAAACTTACTCAACATAAGTGTTGATATTTAGTTTTGAGATCAACTATACTTTAAATTCAAAATGGCTCAATTGGCTCATTCAAATGGCTCAAGGTGAGAAAAGTCATGTGATTCAAAATGTAAATTGATTTTTGTTTTACCATTCTTTGTTAAATTATTTTAAGAACACAAACTTAATTAATATTATATTCATTTATTTAAACGATTTCAGGCAGTAAAGAGTGCTGGTCAATTTTTGAAGAACCCCTCACTGTCAAATGAAGCTATTAAAGCTGGCAAGAACCAACTAAAACTACAAGTATTAAGTGAAGCTGATCAGGGCTCCGCCCTGGTTGAATCTCTTGCTGCCCAGGGCTTTTACACAGGAACAGCCAAATCCCCTATTGAGATTGCTGCAGAAATTGATCAAATTTCCGACAGTGATGTATCAGAGGTAGATTGGTTTTAATCTAATAAATAATATTTTGGATTCCCAGTTGGACATATAAATGTAGAAACTTATACTATTAAGCTTGTAAATAAAACAAATTAATTTTTACTTTGTTACAGGCTCTATCTAATGCTGTAAGAAACAAAATGTCAATGGGAGCTGTTGGTAACCTAGCGTTCGTTCCATATGTAGATGAAGTATAAATTTAACTCCTTTAAATGTACCTTAATTTAACAATTAAGGAAATTTCTGAATTGTACATTTATTATAATTTATTGTTAAATAAACAATAGCTGTTAATAGTGAGTTTTATTATATCTTCAAAGTTTTCTATTCAAATTAATTTAATTTTTTTAAATCAAAGTTCAAATTATTTCCAAGAATCACATCTACCAGAAGTTAGAAGTGCAACTTAATGTTAAAAGGTTTGATGTTCACAAATAGTATATTTGTGAACATATAGATAATGTTCAAGATGTGGTAATACCTATGTATGTAGGAAAATTTATTTTTAAAATGGATTCATCTGCATATCATAAGCACAAATAAAAATTCAATTACTGCATCAATATTTATTGAACTTCTGCTTCTGTTAATAACATATTTGGTATGCCTTTAGATATGGGAAAGCGCCTACCCGATTCTGGACAAACTAAATTGCCCTCTTCAATGTCTACTTCTAGTAGCACTCTATGTGCTTTCTTTAAAAACTCATTGTTTTCTTCAAACTTTGGTTCAATTGTCTGTGGAAGTCCATCACTGTGACCAATACTATCAGCAGCCCTCCACAACACTTCCCAGTCCAGTTTTGGTATTATTCGAGTAATAAATTCAGGATTGTAATCAACTTCTGTTATATTAATGTTTGTAGCATTGATTGATAAAGGATAACCTGTAACTACGCCTTTAAGGCATTTTGAGGTAAGCATGTTATGAGTGATTAATTTCATTTCGAGCTTTTTACTGAATCAAATATCAGATAATTGAAATTTGATGTTTTAGAGAAACATGTAACATTTATGTTAGTACCTCTATATCCGTCTTTTTAAACACTTCGACATTTGGAAAGTGATTGATAAGTTGAGTGAAATCTATTTTATAGAATTCCACAAGTCTTATTTCATTTAAAATATAGTGCCTTGTGTATTTTCAATTTTGTAAGTTATTTTTTGGTTATGAAATATGAACTACACAATCTACATAGACTTTTTTTTATTTCCATTTTTTGGCGTCCACAGATTTGTGAAGACAGCTAAGTATTATATAATATGTGCGCTGTAGCATGGTGCGGGTGACAGCTAAGCAAAGTATTATGCGTATAACGTAAGGCCATAGACGTATTTAGTGATGTACTGCTACGAGGGATAGTCGATGTTTTTATAATAAAAAACGTATTTTGTGCGTAGTTCAATTTTTATTGTTTAAAAGTCTATAATTGTATAAATGAAACAACAGAACATATATAGGGTAAGGTTACTTAAAAGATTGCTAAGAAAAAATATATTTTATTCGTCAAAACTTATATAAGAGTCAGTCATTGAGTCAGTTGTCAGTTCAGTCAATTGTCACTAAATTCATCATCTGAATCTGTGTGTGATTGGCTTCATCTTGGTCCTTTTTTAGTTGAGTGTCGATAATTTATTTTCAGACATCCCTTATTGGCCAATTTTCTCACGTGTTATTTGCGAAACAATATTGCCAATATCAAGGGCTTTGGCTACTCGATCCACAATTCGATTCATTGGTAACAAAGTTACATTGTTTTGTAGTTCTCTTTCAAAGTACTATCGGAGGCAAATAAAAAAGCTCTTTGGCATGTAGTATTGTCTTTTATTAACATAAATTTTACACATTTAAACACTTTTTTAACGGATGGAAGCAATGTATTATTATAAACTTCTAATAATTTTACATAATTTAAAATTTTCCCCAACGTTTCGCGTGCGTGGTCACGGTGACTTATCAAGTTATCACTGAAGATAAAAGGTGTTGAATGTCAAGTACTTTCGGTTGGTCAAAGCGTATGTAATGATTAGGCCTATCTAGTGTGTGTTCACAGACTGCTGATTTTGTGTGTCATCTATTCTATTTCTTTTTACTTGTAGATTGTCTTATTCCCATCTCGCTCGCGCACGCTCGGCACCCGGCTGGTTTAAAAAGAATTCGTTAGTGGGCAACTTCATTCTGTTAATTTTATGCCACGGTGCGCGCGCATCGTAAATTTTCACTCTCATCAATTTTTCATAGAGCGCCTAAAGTATAACTTCAAAAATAATACATATTCTTAGTATTATATTTATCGATTATTTCCCAATTTTTGAACTTTAAAGTTTTAGAATTTCCACTTTCGACCAACCACTTTCACGCGCCAGAAACAGTTATTAAAAAAAAATATTAATATACTTACCTAACCTAACCGAACTAGATAATAATTGGTTTTTTGGCCAGCTCCGGCGCTACGGTAAATGCAGCCCCCTTGCGTACCAAAGCACAGGCATCTTATTCAAGCCTCCGCAGCCTCGGCTTTTTGACCAGCATTAGCCGCTACTGCTTGCATAATGCCTATGCTTTGTTACAGGGGCTGCTCTTCCTCCGCGCCTCCGATTTTTTATATACACTCTAGGGGTAGGGCAGACAATACCACGTGGATAGTGGGGCGCTCTGATTCGGTTTTGGGTTCTTCTTGAATGTAAATAAACACTTTAAAGTATCGATATTTTCAAATTTTTCGGAACCTACACTAATTGAAACGTGAATTGATGTTTAACATCAATTATTTGTCAAATTTATTATGTTATGGCGTGTTATTTGCCCATTCGTATGGAAAGTAAAAATAAATTTATCTCATGAACCGTAAGTTTCCGCAACTTAAAACTTTGCAAAACGCTTTCTTTTAGTGAGTAGATCTACAGAAAAAAATATAGGCATTCAATTGGATGGTCCATATTGGAAAGTTTAGCCCGGAGACTCCTCATACATACCAATTAAACAATAATTTGCTTTTTAAACTAATTTTCATGACAACATTAAAGAGAACTAACTAGATTTATGCTGCGAGAATCGTCAGCGATAAAAATGTATTGCTAAATGTCACATCCCTAGTCATGTGGTACTGACAGATGTCAACGTCATACAAGTAACTGTTATCCGCCCCATGCTACAGCACACTAAGGGTATGTTCCGATATACACTGCGACCACTGTACAGAGTACCGTCAATTTAGTATACTGTGAAACCGTTTCTCTATAGCCAGCTATACTGGTTACAATTTAAAACGGAACGCAGTCCAGTATACTAGTCAGCTTCGTTTTTCGACACAGTTTTCAAATGAGTGCATCAAAGTTTTTCAATTAAACAACAAAAACTATTATTGGAGTATTATCGCATTAAAAAAATCTATATTAATATTAACTGTCAATTGAATTAATACTACAAAGAAAGTAAGTATTTTTTAATTAGAATTTTAAATGTTTGTTATTAAACTGTAAGTTATATCAGCCGTTAGGCATTCAAGTGGTTTTGATTGATCACGTGATCAAAGCACTGCGAGTACCTTACCTCGAAAACGCCAGTGCTCGCAGTAGAAGTATAGCGGGGATTTGTGACGTCATATATTTCCCTAGGTCGCTGCGGCTGTATACTGGCAGTCCATAGTGGAACGAATTTTTGAACAGTGGGAGCACTATACAGTACTCGCAGTGTATATCGGAACATACCCATAGTATAACAATTTAAAGTACTTGCTACACACAGAATGGGCCATATACAATGTACTCTATGGTATAGATTAATCTCTGTGCCGTCCTCAAGTTTCAAAATGCACTATCAAATGTCAATAGATAACAAACATCAACTACCAACCATTCACGTTGGCATTTGCCTTTCTTAATGTAAAATTAATCAGTTTTCCACTCCATGGTTAGTAAATTAGTATTCAAAAAATGGGTACCGTTACTCCAAAAGATTTTGATGACGGGACTTTAAAATCCGAAACAAGTGTTCAGGAATCTGAAAACGCCAGCAGTGAAAACAATGAACTGCGAGATCATCAAAAAAACGTAGAGAAACAAGAAACAAACAATGATTCATTACTATCGAAAAAGAAAAATGCTCGTAAACGATCGAAATTACATAAACTGAAAATGCCTGATACAAATAATGCACAAAAACAAGCAATACATAATGAGTCCCAGGGTTATGAACAAAAAAAAAATATGGCTTCTACTTCATCTGTTGACCCTAAAATACCGAACAGGAATGATAACTTGAACATTCAAGCTACAAAGGGAACTAACCATATGCATGGACATTATATAAGTGGAAATTTAAATAATCTACATATATCTCCTCAGCAGATAGGTCATAATGCTAAACCCCAATGTAACACACAAAGTGCTGAGTCTGTTCAAGATTTTTTCATAAGACAAGTCATACCTTTGTATTCAAATGCTCAGTACATGGAAAATCTTGCACATCATCCTCAGTTTCAGTTAACACAAAATGTAAATACACCTCAGCCTGGACACAGTTCACCTCAAATGCATCCCAAATTTGGATATCCAATAAGTGTTCCTAATTCTCCATTAGTTTATGGAAGTCCCAGTTTTCCATTCCAACCATCTAATTTACATTCTCCAAAATACTTACAAAATCTTATGCAACATCCATTACTAAATTATTCCCTTAAGTCTCCAAATCATATAAACAATATAAGGAATGTTTTTCCTGGATCATCAAGTGGACATTACTTCAATTCTCCTCAGAGTAAAAACAAAGATGGTAAAAAAGATGTAAATAATGAGGATAGAAAATTTGAGTCATATATGTCAACGGAAAATGTGGAAGCTGGTTTGCTTCAAAATACTTTAATTCAGGGAGTAATAAGAATCAATCCAAAGCAGTTTCAACATGCTTACATAACAGGTACAGATCGTAGCGAGCAAGATGTTCTGATAGACACAGTAAAAAATAGAAACCGAGCCTTAGAAGGTGATGTTGTGATAGTACAAATTTTGGATAGTGACAATGAAGAGAATAATGAAACTAATGAAGTTAAACAGAAAAAAGGAAAAGTTGTTTATATCAAAGAAAAAGTGCATACGCGGTCATGTATTGGTTCTTTAATGTTAATGCCTGATAAAAATAGACAGCGAGCTCTATTTGTACCCCGAGACTACAGAATACCAAGGTTAAATATATCTTGTACATTTTGGCCAGATAATTTTTATACTGATTACAAAAGGTATGAAAATACATTATTTTTAGCAACAATTTTAGAATGGCATGATACAAGATTTGCAATGGGTAGGATTGTGTGTAATATAGGGGAATCAGGAGATATGCAGTCAGAAACTAAAGCTATTCTGGCACAGACTGATTTAGATGTGACGCCGTTTGAACCAGATGTGAAGCATCTATTTCCAAGCTTAGATTATGTTATACCCGAAGAAGAGATAAAGTTGAGGGAAGATTGTCGTAAATTATGTATATTTAGTATAGATCCTTCTAACTGTAGAGATATTGATGATGCTGTATCATGTAGAAAACTTGATAATGGCAACTTTGAGGTTGGTGTACACATATCAGATGTATCTCACTTTTTGACAGAAAATACTATTTTAGATAAAAAAGTAGCAGAAAAGGCTACAACAATATACATGGTAGAAAGAGCTTATCACATGCTGCCAGATGAACTATGTATGCTTTGTTCCCTTTTCCCTGGAGTTGATAAACTTGCTTTCTCTGTATTTTGGGAAATTACAGAAGATGCTCAAATTCAAAAGACAAGATTTTCTAAAACTATCATTCATTCTTGTTGTCAGTTAGCATATGAACACGCCCAGGATATTCTTGATGATAAAGAGGAATCAGAAGCAAGTTTCCCAGAAATTTACAATGGCTTTAAATTTTTAGATATTTTAGAAAGTCTTAAAAATCTCGGCAGAATTTCATCTATTTTGCGGGAAAGACGTTTTGAAGGCGGTGCGTTAAGAATTGATCAACTAAAGGTTTCATTTCACTTGAGTCCCACTAATAGTTTGCCAGAATCATTTCAGATTTATGAAAGCAAACAAAGTCATCAACTCATTGAAGAATTCATGTTACTTGCAAATATGGCCGTTGCAAATAAAATTTATGAGGACCATCCCAAATTAGCATTTTTAAGATGTCACCCTGAACCTAGTAACTACATGTTACGGCAATTGGCCAAAGCATTAAAACCTATGGGTATTGATTTAGAAATAAATTCTGCTGGTGACTTATACAAATCACTGTTACCATATATGGGTCCAAATGCAGACAAAGGCAAAGCCACGGTACTGAGTATGTTGTGTGCTAAGCCGATGGCGAGAGCAAAATATTTTTGTGCTGGAAACTGTGAAGAAGATTTCAATCATTATGCATTAAATGTTCCACTGTACACACATTTTACAAGTCCTATTAGAAGATATGCAGACATTATGGTCCACAGGTAAGTTGGTTCAATTTGTATAAACTTTTAAATAAGTGATAATTTAAGTTAGAGCGTATTAAATAAATAAAATTTAAAATAATCATGTTAGATTAACTTGGTAATGTGATGATTTTCAGATTATTATCTGCAAGTTTAAAGTATAGAAACGTACCAACATGGGACATTGACTTTGTTAACATGGTTGCAGCTCAGTGCAATAAGCAAAAATACAATGCGAAAAAGGCAGGTGAACTGTCAACAGAATTATACACCCTGAAATACATAGAAATGCACTCACCTGTCTTCACTGAAGCAGTAGTTGTTGAAGTAAAGAAAAAATACATTGATGTCATCATAGTTGCTATGGGTCTAAACAGGAGGATATTTTTCAATAATGTAAGTTTTTTTACTATGCCAATCTTCATAAGCCAAAAGACATGCGTGTTGTTATGAAAAAGTACTTTTTCATAACAGCATGCATTTATATAGGAACTATACAAGAAAAAAACGACGGGTTGCACTCCGGGAGTGCCGGCAGAAGTGAAAACTTGAATATTAACATTGTGCATTTTTGATATTTTGGAATGGTTAGGGAATAATTTTGCACAAATTGCTTTAATTATCAATATAAAAGTACTATCAAATGATAGAATACAATATTTATTTATTGCGCTATCGTACACAAACATGACAATTTATATTACATTAAATACGCCGCGCCAGCTGTCTACTCTCCATCCGTCTTACGAATTTTCGATCAGGTCACGTGTCCTGACGGGAGTTTAACATATTTTACCCATTCCAACAAAGGTGTACAACGCCGCTAAAGAAGTTTTCACTGCAATAATTATTATCATTCTTACTTCTTTTTTTTTTTTCAGGACTTTCCTGGAAAATATGAACATATTGTTAATGAAGCAGGATCAAAGCTATCAAAGATGGAATTAACTTGGAATGCAACAGAGACTCTTCCTCAAGTAAAACAAGTTATTAGTGTATTCTCGACTTTAAAAGTTGAAATGCACAAAGGCGATGATATGGTTAAAGTTGAAGTTAAACTTGTGAGACCAGATGATATAGCCCCAATTTTATAATTCTGACCAGTACATTTCTGTTATATGTCTTGCTATTGCATATTTGACATATTTCAAAATGAAATAATGATTACATAATAAGAGTATCAGTAAGACTAGATTATGTTCTTGAGAATAAAACAAAACTTTTTTCCCTAATTGAGGTCAATTATGCACATCATTATTATTTAAACGCACAATAAAATAATATTATTTTTTTTATAACAAACTTTTGACCATCACAATTTTTTACATTACTAAATTTTTATTTTTATTAGTCAAAAATTAAAATCAGCCATGCATGTGATTATATTTTTTTGAATAAACACGTGGCTGGTATATTATACATAATTAGCAAAATTTTAAATTAGATCATATTTTACATGTTTAGTTATGATACTTCTTTTAAGTTGAGTTGAGAAAGTGTTGCCTAGAATGCATTTACCATTATTTGTTTTTTTTTTGGTTACAATAATTATGAAATCTTATTTTAATATTTCTATGCATTTTTGTCCTTTTTTAATATAGTTTATATAATTTCAACAATGAACATTAAAATAATGAAATGTGTTAATCATGATTTGTTTAGAATGGATTTTTTTAAATCTTCTAATCAATGCTAAGACTCATTTCTAGGTACCTGAGTTATTGTAATTTTATATTACACAAAAAAATCCATTAAGGGTCTAACACAAAAATGTTTATTTACAATAAGTACATATGACAACATGAATGATTCATGTATAGAATAAGTAGTTTTGTGATCTCTGTTTTAACCTCTTGTATTATAATATTTTTGTAAGACCTTTTTATTACTAGTTAAAACTAGGAGAATGTCTTCTTTAGGCTAAATTTTAAAGAACATGTTGCTGATATACCAACTAACAACTGTTAATATTTAAAGAAACCAAGTGAATCAATACTTTCACAACCGCAGCCCAACATTGCAAAACAATAATTTTATTGACCCGGTGGTCAAGGGCTAATTGAATTCAAGATTTTCAAATTTATTGCTGGTGGTTTGTTGGCCTATACAGTTGGATTATACGCATACTTTTTGATGGACTTTGTTATACTTGATGAAATTTTAAAAATATATGTAGTTCTTGTGTCCACTTTAAGTAAATTGATGTTGTGTAGAAATAAGATCTCAATATGATAATAAAGGTTGTAGTCATTTTTGTCTGTGTATTAATCTATTTCAATTTGAATAAAATTTTATTTTGAATAATAATGAGTTATTATTAAATAAAATAATAATTATTATTAGGCCTTATAAAAAACAGATGAGTGATGGAGATAACTTCATTTTTTAATCAACAGGAATAGTACGAGATCCGGCTGCAGGATCAGTTCGTTCATCGGTTATTTTTGTTTTAATTTATTTCATAATTTTTAGATGCACATATAAAACAACAATGTAAAGTAAGTGGGGGCAAGATGAAAAATGAGTATTAGACAATAAATCGTTTATAACACCAATTTTAACTTATTTTTTTGAGTACTGGTATTTTTATTAAAACCGCCAGTTTCTAACGTTCCAAACCACATTCGAAATTAGCCGCCCAAAGTGCGTAAATTTGAATAATTTCTGCGTCGTGATTTTTTCGTAAAATCTTCAAGTGATTTAATCTTACCCCGTGTACAAGTAGCGGCACGAAACTCTAGCGCTGACCATTATTGCGCAGAAATAAAAAATAAGGTACCTGAGGGGGGCTAGCGGGCGCGCGTAGCGTCGATTGGCTCTCCAGTCGCATTCCGTCCCCCGCGCGACAGTACACATGCGCAGCAATCCCCTCCACGTATCGGCCAGCGCTAGACTTACGTGCCGCTGCCTATACTGTAACTTTAATTATAAGATTAAAGATAGGTACGAAGATTTCATAGGAATATTTAACTATAGTTTTTTTTTTTATTTCTATAAAGGGGGGCAAACGGGCAGGAGGCTCACCTGATGTTAAGTGTTACCGCCGCCCATGGACACTCTCAATGCTAGAGGGCTCGCGAATGCGTTGCCGGCCTTTCAAGAATTGGTACGCTCTTTTCTTGAAGGACCCTAAGTCGAATTGGTTCGGAAATACTTCAGTGGGCAGCTGGTTCCACAAAGTGGTGGTGCGCGGCACAAACTGCCTTGAAAAACGCTCAGTTGTGGAACGGCGGACGTCGAGGTAATACGGGGGGAATTTCGTACTCTGCCTCGACGTCCGATGACGAAACTCAGCTGCAGGTATTAATCCGAACAACTCCTCTGAACACTCTCCATGGTAAATGCGGTAGAAGATGCAGAGTGACCCCACATCTCTACGCAACGCCAAAGGATCAAGCCGCTCGGAAAGGGATTGGTCATCGTCGATTCGAACCGCTCTGCATTGAATACGGTCAAGTGGAAGGAGCTGGTACTGGGGAGCCCCCGCCCTGAGGTGAGAGCAGTACTCCATGTGGGGCCGAATTCGCGCTTTATATAGTTGCATGTGGTGGCCCGGAGTGAAGTACCGTCTCGCCTTGCTGAGCACACCAAGCTTTTTGGAGGCTAATTTAGCCTTTCCCTCCAAGTGACCGCGAAACTGAACGTCGTTCGATATGTCAACGCCAAGTATTCCAATGCTGGCTGTGGCTTTAAGAAGAGTGTTTTCGAAAAGAGGAGTAGCGACAAAGGGTGTTTTTTTTGCGGAAAACGCGCAAACTTGTGTCTTCTTGGGGTTAAATTGGACTAGGTTTAGTCTGCCCCAGTCTGAGACTCCACGTAGTAGAGTTTCGACTTCAGACACAAGTTTGTTCCGGTACTCATCGACAACTGCCCGAGAAATACCTGCCCGGCCAGTGTAAAAAGTATCCCCAGTGCTGTCATCCGCATAGCAATAAATGTTGCTAAGTTGCAACATATCATTGATATGCAGAAGAAACAGGGACAGCCTTGTGGGACCCCCGCGCTCACGGGTTTACCTTAATGCTCGGATCGGCCAGAAAGCTGGAGATCCAATCGCATAATTTCTCGGGTAGCCCATAGGCTGGAAGCTTCGAGAGCAGTGGTCTGTGCCACACCCGATCGAAGGCTTTCGCTATGTCCAAACTAACCGCTAGCACCTCCCCCTTGAACTCAATTGCCTCTGCCCATCTATGTGTAAGGTATACAAGAAGGTCACCAGCTGAACGACCACGACGAAAGCCGTACTGATAATCGCTAATCAGCTGGTGGCCCTCTAGATACCTCAAGAGCTGGCAGTTAACAATGGATTCCATTATTTTGGAGAACAAGGAGGTTATGGCTATTGGGCGATTGTTGGACGAATCAGAGCGATCGCCTTTTTTAGGGATCGGATGTATCGAAGTGGTTTTCCAGCACTTCGGGACAGTGCCGAGCGAGTACAGGTACCGGAAAAGGCGCGTTAAGACCGGAGCCAACTCAGGAGCACAAGTACGCAGCACAATTGGGGGGATACCATCCGGCCCGCTCGACTTATGAATGTCCAAGGAAGATAGTGCTTTGCGGGATCGAAGAATCACACCGCGAAATGATCGGTGGTGATCTTCCTCGGTCATCCAAAGTCGAGTTGGACGCGAAGAGACAGCCCAAAAGGTCGGCCTTCTACTTCGCAGAGTGGGCCAGCTAGTCATCCTCCCTGTGCAGTGGTGGAATGGCGGGCTGACAAAAATTCCCTTGGACAGCTTTGGCGAGAGACCAGAAGGCTCGAGTCCCTGAAGTGAGTTGGGCCAATCTCTCGCCAAATCTGGCAATGTGCTCTGACTTTGCCTTAGTGATTTCCCCGTTTGAAGGACCTGGAGGCTGAGTTATATGCTTTTTTAAGTTTGCTGGTATTGGCATCACGAGATTTCGCCGCTTCCACCCATGCCTTAAAGCATTCTCGCTTTCGACACGAGGCCGCCTTAAGCCAGGGCTGAGACTTGCCACCGATCGGCACCGCAGAAAATGGAATAAAGAGTTCCATGCCCTGCAGAACCACTTCGGCGACAGAGGCAGCGACGGAATCTGGAGCTTCCGACTAAAAGCACATAGGCCCCCAAGGGTAGGACGCAAAGAAAGACCGCATCCCGTCCCAATCTGCTGACTTGTAGTGCCAAATACGGCGACAACCCAAAAAGCGGGGCCGTGAAGGGCGCGTAGAAGGCACAGTACTCCGGACCACACAATGATCTGATGAACCCAATGGCGGGTCAACAGAGACTTGATAGTTCTCCGGATGTGAAGTCAGCAGAAGATCCAACAAAGAGGGTTTATGACCATCCACATCTGGTATTCGCATAATCGCAGGGACCATTTGTGTCAGGTCGTAGGCTAAAGCAAAGTCGTGAAAGGATCTTCCCGCGTCATTGGTGGTATCAGAGCCAAGCCAATCGGCATGGTGGGCGTTAAAATCGCCAAGTATCACGATTTCAGCGGTAGGAACCCTTTCGAGCAGGGAATCTGTAGCCGTTTGAATGTGCTCGATGAGTCGGTTAGTTTCGTCATTTCCGCTATGGGACCAATACAGGCACGCATAGAATCGCGGATGGTCAGCGCAGTCTACGCGCAGTCAGAGGTTAGATTAGAGGTCCCTTTCTTCAAGCGTCCCGAGGCGACGAGAACAAATATCCTCCCTGACGTACACGCAAACTCCCGCCCGCGGCACAAATGAATGTTCCAATTTGTATCCCGGGTAGGAGAGGTAAGAAGTATCAGCCGGGGAGGATATCTGAGTCTCAGTAAGGAAGAATAAGGCCGCCTTCGCAGTTTCTAAGTAAAAGTGAACCGCGTTTAGGTTAGTTTTCAACATCTGTAAAGTCCACCGTGAGCGTGGAAGGGGTTGCCTTAGGTAAATGCTTCCGTTTGCCCCGAGATCGAAACCTATTAATACATAAGTTTTTAGCGCAGTTTTTGCCCCCCCCAGAATACGAAGGGCAGCCTGTGCATCTACCATCGAATACCAATTGTTCCGATGATGGACGCCCAGATGCCCAGTTACGAAATCACATCAAAATACGGCTATTTTTAGTCATTTAGGAAATATCTCAACTTTCCATCT